TAAAATATTCTCTTGGTGGATTTTTTCTTTGAGACTATAGTGTCCTTCTCTAGCTTTTTTGATTAGTTTTGTTTTGAAGTCTTATTTTATCAGATTTCAAAATGGCTATACCTGCTTACTTCTTGGTTCATTTGTGTAAAGTATGCTTTCTGTCCTTTCCCCTGAAGTAATTGTCTATCCTTGATATTAAGGTGTATTTCTTGGATGCAGCAGAAGGGTGAATCCTGTTTTCTAATCCATTCTGTTAGTCTGTGTCTTTTTATTTATTTATTTTTTTATTTTGTGGTGGTTTTGAGACAGGATTTCTCTGTAGCTTTGGAGCCTATCCTGGCACTTGCTCTGTAGACCAGGCTGGTCTTGAACTCACAGAGACCCACCTGCCTCTGCTTCCCGAGTGCTGGGATTAAAGGCGTGTACCACCACCACCCAGCAGTCTGTGTCTTTTTTTTTATTTATTTACTTATTTTTATTACATATACAGTGCTCTGTCTGCATATTTGCCTGCACACCAGAAGAGGGCACCAGATAGATAGCTGTGAGCCACCATGTATTTTCTGGGAATTGAACTCAGGACCTCTGGAAGAGCAGTTTAGTGTTCTTAACCTCTTGAGCCTTTTCTCCAGCCCCCACTCTGTGTCTTTTTATTGGGGAAATTGAGTTATTAATATTGAGAGTTATCAATGAGCAGTGACACAGATCCCTTTTATTTTGTTGTTAGATGTGGAGTTTTCCTTGTCATTTGATTTACTGGTTTGGGATTATGTATTTCGTGTGTTTTTTTGGGTGTGGTTAGCCTCTTCAGATTGAAGTCTTTTTTGTGGTACTTTCTATAGAGCTGAATTGGTAGATAGGTACTTTTTAAATCTGGTTTTATTATGGAATTTTTCTTTCTCCATATATTGTGATTGATAGTTTTGCTAGATATAGTAATCTGGGCTGACATCTGTGGTCTCTTAGAGTTTGTAGAACATCCATCCCTTAGGCCTTTCTGGCTTTTAGAGTTTCCATTGTGATCAGGTGTTATTCTAATGGATCTGCTTTTATGTTACTTGAAATTGCAGCTTTTCCTATTTTCTTTTGCAGCTTTTACTATTCTGTATTTGTATTATATGTATACTATTTTGATTATTATGTGTTGGGGAATATTATTTTAAGGTGTGTTACTTTTGTTTATGTTGCATTTGTTTAATTCTGTGAAGCTGTGTTACTGAGCATGTCTAAAACACCTGGTGGTCTAATAAAGAGCTGAACAGTCAATATAGAAGCAGGAGAGAGGAATGGGTGGGGCTGTCAGGTAGAGTGGATAAATATGAGGAGAAATCTGGAGAAAAAAAAGGATCTGGGAACAAGAGAGGAAGGAGGAGGACTACAAGGGCCAGCCACCCAGCTACCCAGACAGACATGGAATAAGAAGTAAAGAAAAGGTATACAGGAGTAGAGAAAGATAGATGGGCTAATTTAAGAAAAGCTGGCAAGAAACAAGCCAAGCTAAGGCCAGGAATTCCTAACTAAGAATAAGCCTCTGTGTGTGATTTATTTGAGAGATAGGTGGTGGGCCCATCAAAAAGCAAAAGAGTAAAATATCACACTAAAATTGTGTGTCATTGGGAATTTTTGTTTTGGTCCTGTCCACTTGATGTTTTGTATGCTTCTTATACCTTGATAGGGTCTCCTTTCTTTAGGTTAGGGAAATTTTCTTCTATGATTTTGTTGAAAATATTTTCTGTGCCTTTGATCTGGTTTTCTTCTTCTCCTTCTATTCCTATAATTTGTAGGTTTTCATAGTGTTCCAGATTTCCTGGGTGTTTTGTGACTGGATGTTTTTAGACTTAACATTCTCTTTGACTGAGGTATCTTTATTCTACTTTGCCTTCAACACCTAAGATTTCTCTTCCATGTCTGGTACTCTGATGAGGCTTACCTCTGAGGGTTCTGTTTGACTTTCTGATTTTTCTATTTGAGTTTCCTTTATGATTCTATTTGCACTTTCAGGTCTTGAACTGTTTTATTCATTTCCTTCTGCTGTTTGTGTTTTCACAGACTTCATTAAGGGATTCACTCATGTCCTCTTTAGGTCCTTAATCATGTTCATAATTGCTATTTTGAAGTCCTTGCCTTGTGCTTCAGCTATAATCACCTTTCTCACAGCCTACTGGAGTAGGGTTACTGGGTTCTGCTGGAGGCATACTGTCTTGGCCATTCATGTTTGTGTCTAGGCGTCTGGGCTTAGGGTGGTTGAGTTGCCTGTAGATGTTGCTATCTGGTCCCGTCTTTGTTGAGTAATGTTGTTCCATTCCTTGGTTTCTGTTGCCCTCTCTGGATCTTAGGAAAGTGTGGTAGCTGTGGGTTCCCTGGTAGGCTGGCTTCTGCAGGCTGGTAGGTGGCATTATCTTCCCTTCTCCTTTGCTTCTAACAATATTTGGGAAAATTTTAAATTATTTAAATTATTTTTGCTATTAAAATATATTAATTTTTCTCCAAATAAGAGTAGAGCTTATTTATTTTATAATTTATAATATGGTGTGATTCATTGTGGCATATTTAGAATGTACAGGGTTTTCAAAACTCTGGGATTATGATATTCTTTTGGCTTAATGTGCTTCTACTGGGCTAAATGCTGTAAGGGCTATAACGTGTTGTAGATCTGACGCCCAAAAGGTATAGGAAATTGACTCAGGTTTCTTTTTCAGCCTCAGTTTTCATATTTCTTAAAATAGTACTGAGAACATTTGTACACACCAAACAAATGATTGTTCTTGAGAATTGTCACTGAAGTGACATTAAACAAACATACACATTTTAGGACTCTTTGTATCTGAACCGTTTGTAATTTTATAGCACATTTTCTAGACTTCCTTTACAACCTGTGCATATGTAATTGAAATCAGGGGCTTAATATTGTAATGAGTTATGGAATAGATGTTTTACATCTCCTTACATTGCCTTTCTTTAGAGGCTGCAAACTCAAAAGTCAGCAGGGATTTTAAGAGAAAACCCCAGCTTCACAGGGAGAGCTCAGTGATGGTCCAGGCTGTCAGTTAGCCTGGACTGTGAATATGGCCAGAGGGATTGAGGGGAGTGGGAACTTGTTGTAGCTATTGCTGCTTGTGGTGATACTTTGTGCTCTAACAAATTAGCCTGCCTGAAGGTCAGAGTGCGGAGCTAGCCAACTGGTTAGCCACTTTCAGCATTTACCTCCTAATATCTGACTCGGGGTTTTTATTGTTAAGACCAATTAGATTCCTGCTTACAGCTCCTGACTAGGGATCTGGGTCTTGTTTTGCCACCTCTTTATGTGTAATGTGTACTTGTGTTGTTTTCTGTTTCCGCCTTTAATGCTACGGCTATCCTATTCAGCAACCACAGCTCTGCCGCTAGCTGCTATGATGGCTCGGTGGCCCCTTCCCTTAGGCATCAACACTTTCAAAAGTTAAGGAAACTTATTTAAATCTCAGTCCCACTAAGGAACTCAAGATTCAAAGGTTGAGGTAGAATCCTGCTTTCCAGAGAGGCTGAATAGCAAGCAGCTCACCTACCTCACCTCTTCGAGCTTCCCAAGAAGCTCTTACAGTCAGTCTCACCCCTAGTTATGATCCCTTCTCCACCTGGCTCCTCCCTACAACTTCCTGTCAGCTAGTTACTGACCCAGCCTCCTCACCACAGGTGAATTTTATTTAATCAAACACATCTTTGCATCATTAAACAAATGTTCCAGAGCATAAACAAAAGGAACACACCTTAAATTAATATCCTATAACATACTTGTAAGTATATGTGTAGCTCCTTTGTTTACATGTGTGAAACAGGAAAAAAGGGCTTGATTAATCATTACTTTTTAGGTCTGGTCACAGTGTAAACTTGATAGGATTTAAGGATTAGTAAATCTATAGATTCTGTTGAGTCTTTTACAAACATATATTCTTTTTCCTTTGGAGCCACCCTTCCCCCCATTTCCCTGATTTGAATTTAAAACACTTTAAAATTTATTTATTTATTGGAGGAGGGGGCATATGTGTGGAGAAGACAACTTGTGGGAATTGGTTCTCTCCTCCTACTATGAGAGTCCCAGGGATTGAACTCGGGATATCAGCAAGTACCTTTACCTTTTGAACCATTTAATTGGTACTTGAATTGTTTTCAAGATGAGGGTTTTTTATTTGCTCATGCTGGTCTTAAGCCAACTTCTTTCCTAGCCTCCTGAGCAGTTGGCCTGTTGTGAGACTACGGGTGTGCTCCACTGTGTTGGACCTGTTCTGAGATAGACTATGGGTGTGCTCCACTGTGCTGTGTCTGTTCTGAGATAGACTACGGGTGTGCTCCACTGTGCTGGGTGTATTCTGAGATAGACTATGTGGGGGAGACGTGTAGCAGCCCACAAGTGGAGTAGTCAGAGGAGAGTGCAGAGGGAGTCAGTTGTCTTCTTCCATTTGTGCACTGGGGATTGAACTCAGGTTGTCAGGCTTGGCAGCAAACACTTTATCCTCTTAGCCTTCTTACTGGCTTTTTATTTTCAGTGGTATTGAATGTGAATTATAACGGGGCTGATAGTACTAAAATCAGCAACTTTTGTGCTTTTTCACTATGCACAGCAGTTTCAAAAACTGAATTAGGAAGGTGTGTTACAACAGTTGCTGATTTCAACCAAACAAAAATGGTTAAAACTGTATCTGAAAGCCAGCATGGTGTTGCCCACCTTTAATCTACTAGGAAGGGAAAGGCAGTCTGGTCTACAGAGTAAGTTCCAGGACAGCCAGGTCTACATAGAGAAACCCTGTCTACAAAAACCAACCAACCAACCAACCATCCATCCATCCATCCATCCATCCATCCATCGATCCATCCCACCAACGAATGAACCTATATCTTGAAGACTAGTTATTGTAGTGAAGCTTTAAGTGCAGTCTCTAGTGTCATTCGAGATGGTGCCTTAAACAATTCAATCCCTACTTCATCTAGTATCCTGTGAGATGATGTCTCAAACAATCTTAATTCTGTTTTAGACTGATAGAGACTGATAGCAAGTCTTTAAGATCTGTGAATGGGTCAAGAAGAAACAGTGGCTCCTCTCTCGTGTCAAGTTCTTCCGCCTCCAGCAACCTTAGTCACCTGGAAGAAGACTCTTGGATTCTTTGGGGAAGAATTGTGAACGAATGGGATGATGTGCGCAAGAAGAAAGAAAAGCAAGTGAAGGTATTTGCACTGTTTTCTAAGTTCCTTTTATTATCCCCAAAGTATCAGGCATAGATTAGTAGGCATTAGGAAAAAACAGGATTCTTGGAATTTCTGAGTTGTGTTATTAACTGGTTGGTTTTATATGTCTTCATTATCTATGCTTGATAGAAATTCTAGTTTGTGAGTTGTTGTAGATGTCCTGAAAAACCTAGAAATTCAGTTTCATTTTTAGAAATTAAGCTCCCATTTTGTTAATTTCAGAAATGAAATCTTGACATTGTGCATCAGTATTTTGCCTTTTCCCTTCAACAGCCCTTTGAATATCATGGGTGTGGTGACCGTGATGTATATCTCTGTCACCTCCCGCCAGTCAGGTCCCTAAGACCTTTAGAGGCCACATTCTCAGTGAAATGACTGTTTATCCATGGCTTTGTAGCGACTAATGATAACTTACCCAAGAGCCAACTCTTAGACTTCTTTAAAACATTTCTTTTCTCTCTCTCTCTCTCTCTCTCTCTCTCTCTCTCTCTCTCTCTCTCTCTCTTCTTTCTTTCTTTCTTTCTTTCTTTCTTTCTTTCTTTCTTTCTTTCTTTCTTTCTTTTCTTTCTTTCTTTCGACTTATTTATTTATAGTTCGAGGCCAGCCTGGTCTACAAAGTGAGTTCCAGGACAGCTGTATGCCTACAGGCCAGAAGAGGGCACCAGACCTCATTGTTGTGATCTGCCATGTGGGTGCTGGGAATTGAACTCAGGACCTCTGGAAGAGCAGCCAGTGCTCTTAACCTCTGAGCCATCTCTCCAGCCCCTTCTTTAAAGAATTTCATAGCTTATTATTAAACAAGCTTTATAATTCATAAATTTGATACAGTTTTCCATTCTAACACTCCCTTCCCCGGAATGCTTGGGTAGCAAGGTATGGACATTTGAAAGTTTTGTTTTCCTCTTATTTTTAGGAGCTTGTCCGTAAAGGGATACCCCACCACTTCAGAGCAATAGTTTGGCAACTTTTATGTAATGCACAGAGTATGCCCATTAAGGATCAGTATTCAGAACTCCTGAAGATGACTTCACCTTGTGAAAAATTGATTCGAAGAGACATTGCTAGAACTTACCCAGAACACAATTTTTTTAAGGAAAAAGATAGCCTTGGACAGGAGGTTTTATTTAATGTAATGAAGGTAAGCTCTGTTTATTCATTTTTTGAAGTGAAATTAGTTTGTCACAGGTTGAAATCACACATTTCCATAATGAAGTATGAACTCCCATTATAATAATCAGTTCTTGGGCAGTAGACTTAGTTTTAAGTTTTGGCATACTTTCTGCTTTAATTCTGATGCTTCATTGTCAGTTGTTTGGAAAACTAATTAGAAAATTCATCACATTATTTAGCATTAGTTGGCAATAACCTACTCTCGGTGACTATTGCAGAGTCTTTGTGAAAGTAGATAACTCATACTATATGAACTTCATAAGCTGCGATAATGACCCAACTTGTTAAGTGTGCTCAACTCTTTAGCATAATGCTGCTGCTTTAATATTGCTTTTTCATAGTTTCTTTTTCTCACATCTACCTCTGCAAAATACCAATTTCTTAAGTTATTTGAACTTTGTTGTTCACCTTATCTGTACTGTGTTTGTCTTTATCAGATACCTGTCACTTTTCTGAGTATAAATTGCTTTATTTTCTTTGTCCTTAGGAGCTGCCACTTTCTAATGGGGAAATTGTCAAAAGAGATTTTATGTAATAAACCATTTGCTTTTTAAATATTTATAGAATAACATCTACAACAAGTAAGCAAGAGCTTTTCTAAACAAATAAATGGACTTTTAACTGTCTCACCAATTTTAGGTTTTGGAGAAGGAAGATACACTGTGCACGTTGAAGTATTTTGAACACCATGTTTTACTTTTTAGGCCTACTCCTTGGTGGATCGGGAGGTTGGTTACTGTCAAGGCAGTGCTTTTATAGTTGGACTGTTGCTTATGCAGGTGAGTTAACGCTTGCAAGTAGTAACCGTCAACGTTTCTTAAAGTCAGTTGGAGAATTAAAACACCATCTTTGGTTTCCTCAAATTAAGCAGATTTGTGTCATCTCCCTAAACATAATGTACACAGGAATTTACTTTTGCACTTTGAAAGTAAAATGACATATGGTAATACTCTCTTGCCACCAAATGAAATTTCAGCTCTTGTACCCCTCCTTCCTCCCGCCCTGTGTTCTTCTCTTTCTTTCTTCTTTGGAGATTGTATGCTATATCACTGAGCTGCAGGCCCAGCTCCCTAACTTGGAAAAATGATTACAAATACTTTTTACATAGACTATGTGTGTGGCCATGTGGATGTAGGTCAGTCCCAACCTGTAGGAGTTGATTCTCATTCACTGTATGGACGCCAGGAATGAAACTCAGGCCGTTGGTCTTGGCAGATGCCTTTACCTGCTGAGCCATCTCGCCAGCTCCCCCAACTTCTGCCTCTTATGTCTTTGAAGATTGTATTTTTATTTTTGATTGTGTGTGTGTGTGGGGGGGGGGGGCGTTGTGCACATGCCTATAGTGCCTATGGAGGCTGGAAGTGGAGCTGGAGTTTCAGGCATTTGTGAGCTGCCTGATGTGGGTGCTGGGTATCAAACTAGTATGGGATCTTAACTGCTGAGCCATCTTCCTCCCTTATTTCTTAATATATACAATTGTGCCAAGATATTCTACAAAAGCTTTTTACCTATTTTTAAATTTTACTTGTCAACATTTAATGGGAAGTAATCTTTTCCCAACCAAGAATGGTAAGGATAAAGTTTTCATATAAAATTTTATTTGTTATATATATGTGTGTGTGTGTGTGTGTGTGTGTGTGTGTGTGTGTGTGTGTGTGTGTGTTTTATATCATTTAACTATAGGCTTGTTCTCTTGTTATACCAAAGTTATGTTACTCACATATCTTTACTGTCTCAGGGATATGACATTGGCATTGACTGATTTCCCAGAATTTAGGGGCAGGACAATTGATGTTGGAAGGGAAATGGCATACATATACAATCATCTCTTTAGCCTTGCTGAAATTTTCCTGATTGTGTTTTACTTTTTATGTAGTTTCAGAATTTTAGTTCCAAAAAATGGCTTGATTTGAGCTGTATAGGCTGAAGTTTGCATCTCAGTTCTGCACTCAGCCGATGAGCTTAGATTAGAATGTTTAACTACCCTGTTTTAGGGAATCTTGTCTTCGTTTGGACTGATTGTGAGCGTTATGCAGGTGTAAGCCTGGCATGGTGTTTGACACACATGAGGCAATACAGTAAAACTTGAGTGGCTTTTGTCCATCTTGAATAGATGAAAGCATAGCAGCCATCATACTCTGTTCCCTGGTGTTTTGCTTCTGTTTCCTTACTGTCTGACTTAAAGCCCTCTGTCAGGGCTCCTCCTGTTACCCCATCCTCTTCATTTTTGTCTTTCACACAGGTGCCAGGGATAAACCCAAGGCTTCATGCACACTGAACACCCGCCCTTCTCTTGTTACAGCCCTGGCCTCCGTTCCTCCTCTCAGGGCACACTGGTTTATAAACAAACTGACGACTACTTACCATGTGCTGTAAGAACTGCTAGTAGGGTGGCTTTCTATGTTAGGTAAATCTGGGCTATAATTTATATGGTGTAGAAGTAAATATGTTAATGTTGACGTATGTAGAACTTCCACAAAGTGTTCTGATCATCCTGATTCATAAATGGTTGTCACTAGTAGATCTTTTTACTGTTTAAGTCAAATATCATTATCAGTCTAGTGATTTTTGCTACAAATCTGATCCTTTTTCTTTCATATTAACTTCAAAATGCCAGTATTCATCTCTGCTGAGTATCTAGACTCTAGAGAACAGCCTCCTCCTCGAGGAAGGAGTCTTGCACAGCTACACGACTGGGGTTTCCTGTGACACAGCTATCCCACCAGAGTCATCCTTTGCTCCCATTGTTTACTGACTATACAACCTCAGTATAAGTGGCCTCAAGTCTTCTGAGTTTCATGTTTCATGAGACTCCTGTCTCTTTACAAGAGAATATTTAGTCCTGGAGAAATAGCCACACAAGAAACAGAAAACAGATTCCAGCCTTTTCATGGCTGTGGGGCCTGAGATAGTAACTGTCTGCCAGGCTCGCTGGAGGAAAGGGAGTCAGAAGGTAGAGAATTAACTATCTCAATGAAAGTGACTAAGGAGCTGGCGGAGATACTTTGCTCACCCCTACTCTTTGAAGTGGTGAGGTGGAAAACAGCAATTACCTTAAGGTACAGCGTAGTTCAGCTTAAAGACAAGAATCCTAGAGAATGAGATTGAGCATGGAAGGATGAGTTTGGAAATAGAGGCAGATGAGAGGACTAAGGGAACGGTATAGGATGGAGAGTTCTGGGATCTTGGACTTCTTACAGTGACTGAGAATGCCATGGCGCTTTAGGTCTTGAATTAGTAGATTGGTCTCCACAGCACACCTGTGGCAGTTTTAGCATAGGAAGGACATGCAGGGTTGCCTTCTGTCCCTGGTTGTGTTGAGCTTGGGGAAAACATATTTTGTCATTTGCAACTATTTTCAGTAAGAGATACCAAGAGATCTTTTGGGGACATCCTCTTTTGAATGCATTTACAAACTGTCAATGAAGTTTAGAAAACTATGATTTTGATAAAGTTATCTAGCATGTAGGTGCTATTACTGGATATTTCATAGTGATTTATACTTTTAAAACCTAATTACAAGGCCAGGCGGGCGTTGGTGGCGCACGCCTTTAATTCCAGCACTGATAGGCAGAGGCAGGCGAACCTCTGTGAGTTCGAGGCCAGCCTGGTCTCCAGAGCGAGTGCCAGGATAGGCTCCAAAGCTACACAGGGAAACCCTGTCTCGAAAACAAACAAACAAACAAAACAAAACAAACAAACAAACAAAAAACCTAATTACAGATCATTTTTAAATGTAGAAGTTCTTTTTGGTATTCACATTGCATATAATTTCTGTTGAGAATCCCCAGAACTTTCTAGCTGTCTTAAGGTAAAAGTAAGAAACAGCAGAACGGCTCCCAAACCCTGTGTGTTTGGTGTCACTTATTTTCTTCTTTATAATTCCTTTGTTCATGACCCTTTTTAAAGGAATATAAGCTTAATCTGATTGTTTTTATTCTCTGCTTGGCATCTGCTAAGTAATTCTTGTGTAGGTTTTACTTATTCATGGGGATAACTTGACTTGTACCTTGGTGGTCTCCTACTTGCTGATCAAGCATGCTGGCATCTTAATGTCTTAGTTACTTTTCTATTGCTGTGACCAAGGTGGCTTATAGAAGAAAGCATTTAAATGAGGGCTTACAGTTTCAGAGAGTGAGTCCCTGACTGTCATGGTAGGGGTGTGCCAACAGGCAGGCAGATAGGCATGACTCTGGAGCAGTAGCTGAGAGCTTCCTTCTGATGCACAAGTGAGGGTGGAGAGTGGGGGGAGATTGAGTGGGTGAAAGTGAGGACAAGAGCGGAGAAGGATGGGGGGGGGAGAGAGGAGAGAGACTGGATCTGGTGTGGGCTTTTGAATCCTAAAAGCCTACCATCAGTGACACACCTCCTCCCAACAAGGCCACATCTGGTCCCTTTTCAGACAGTCTACTAACTGGGACCAAGCATTCAAATCTATGAGCTTATGGGGGGCATTCTCACTTAGACACCACAGGGATCTTGTTCCATTTTAGGGCCTTTGTACATTCTGTCTTCAAGGACTGTTTTTCCCTCAGATGTTCCCCAATTTCCTTCTCTTGTTAGTTTAAAATTTACTTTATCGAGGTTCCTTATTTATATAAACAGCAGTTTGTTTCCCCAACATTCCCTTTTTCTAATTGATTCCATAACATTTATCACCACGACATAAATATGATTTGTCTACATATTACCTGTTTATCTCTAGAAAGTTTAAGTTGTTGTTCTTGTATTTAGAAAGAGAACAGTATCTAGCTGTAAATGTTGATTAGATGATACAGGCTCAATTCAGGGTGGTATGGTCATAGACTGTGTGTGTGTGTGTGTGTGTGTGTGTGTGTTGATTAAGTTAATGAATTAGACAAATGGAGGCAGTTGGTCTCAGAGTTGGCAAGAATCATTATCTGATTCTCAGAATGGAAGCCTAGAACATCCTGATTCTTATTCTGTTGCACTTTATACGTTACTCTGTACCCACTGAAAACAATATTCATAGGGCTGCATTCAGTGTCCAGAATCCATGTATAAGAGCTTAGTGTGCTGGTGTGCGTGTGCAATCCCGGTGCTAGAAAGGGTTACTTGGTGAGCCCATGACACTGGAGATCCTGCCTCAAGAAAACAGGACGTATGGAGCCCAAGGAATGGCATTGAGGATTGATCTCTGGCCTCTGTGAACACTTGTACACACAAACACACACACATTAGAGAGAAAAGAAGAAACAATATTTGTTATTGATTGGTATTTTGTTTACAGTATGATTTGGCTTATTTGTGTATTATGAAATGTTGAACCGTGTTACTGTTTTCTTAAAATAGATGCCAGAAGAGGAGGCTTTTTGTGTCTTTGTTAAATTAATGCAAGACTACAGACTTCGTGAACTCTTCAAACCAAGCATGGCAGAATTGGGCCTTTGCATGTACCAGTTTGAATGCATGATACAGGTAAAAGTTCACTTTACTTTTTCTGCCCCCTTTTCTGAATGTCAACTTCACAAATTTTGTGTCAGAATCATAGATGCCAGTGCTGGAGAGATGGCTCAGTGGCTAAAAGCCCCTTTGCTGCTCTTCTAGAGAACCTAGATCAGTTCCCAGCACCTACATGGTGGCTTACAACCATTTGTAACTCCTGTTCTAGGGGATCCATGCCGCCTTCTGATCTGTATGGGCACCAGGCACACACAGTGCACATAGACACATGCAGGCAAAATACTTGAAACACATAAAATAAAAAGGCATAGCAGCAGTTGAAAAAGCCGTCAGTTTTAATCCCATGATGACTTGTTGGTCATAGTCTGGGCTTTCTTACTTAAACATTAAGCATTGGCCTCAATTGTGCTGTGACTTAGGTGCTGCTGCTTCTGTCTGCTGTTAAGTGCTCTGTGCTCCTGTGGAAAGCCAGTTCACTGCTGAGACTTCCATACTGTGTTCATTCCTTCCCTCCTTTCTCTTTGCATATTGTTCCCACCCCATCTGATTTTTTTTTTTTTTTTTTTTTGCATGCTTTCATAATTTTTTGTGACCAGCCTCGGGTTCAGATTGTTTAGAAGCCTACGCATAAAGGTGGAGAGAAGAGGAAGACTGGAATCAGAGTCAAGTGCAAATCAATTAGTGTTTGTTTTTTCTAAGACAGGGTCTCACTATGTAGCCTTGGCTGGCCTAGAACTTGCTATGTTGACCACAGTGGCCGTAAACTCACAGAGATCTGCCTGCTTTTGCCTCCTGAGTGCTGGGACTAAAGCTGTGTGGCATCATACCTGTTTAAAACAGTTTTGAAAAATTTTGATTTTTTTGGATTTAATTTTTTAAAATAAAATTTAATTTATAAATAAATAACCTTACTGTACTATCCATCCTTTAATAGGAAGGTAGGAGTATTTGCCTTTATTTACATTCCAGTTAGAGGTGGGGAATTCCTAGAATATGTGTCAGCATTTTGGGGGCATGAGAAGCAGTTTTCAGAGTCACCTTTCTCTGGAATATGAAATCCTGTATTGTATAAAGAATAGGATATGAAAATGTTTTTACATTTTAAGAAAATCAGAGTATAACATGTGATAATTTTTTTCCTGAAATAGTAGTTTTGTTTGTTGATACAAACCTTAAACTCTTGGTGCTGTGAGTTAAGACATTGTTGAAGACCTTGTATTTTTCCTACTCTGTAGGAGGTAAAGGTGGATTGACTGGATGGTATATGGTACTTGAAAGTTTTCGGCATGGCATTTCTTTTATTTAGAAAATTTTAAGAAATATTATAGCAAATTAAAAATATAGATGATATTGGACAACTATACTCATCAACAAAGTGAAAAATAATAAACACTTATTACTTTTCTGTTCATCACTGGCTGGATGATATTTGACTTAAGTTTAATTTGTCTATGATTCAGTTTTCCTTATTAGTGAATCAGATCAAAGATAGACCTGAGCTTCCAACTCTAGGTCACTTCTTTGCCCTTTGCTGTTAACGACAAAGCTTCAATTTCTGTACTTGAGTTTTTCTGTTATTCTAGTTCTTCTTTGTGTTTGCTATAGCTTACCTACAAATAATCTAGCTTGAAATCCTCAATTTTATTTTATCTTAACTAATTCTTTTCTCTCTTTTAGGAGCATCTTCCAGAGCTCTTTGTACATTTTCAATCTCAGAGTTTCCACACATCAATGTATGCATCATCCTGGTTTCTGACTATCTTTCTTACAACCTTCCCACTACCCATTGCAACAAGGATATTTGATATCTTTATGTCTGAGGTAAGCTATCGAGCAGATTCGGAGTAAAAATAGAATGAAAGAGTCATTGTGTTAAGAGCAGGACAGTGCAAGGAGGAATAAGAGAGCTGCCTTTGTATCCCCACTGCCTCCATGAGCTAATCTCATTAACCCTCATAACAACCATAATGGTTAGGTTCTGGTAAGATCTCCATTTGTTAGGTGATAGGCAAGGAAGCTGACTTACAGGGAGTATGAGTAGCCTGACTGTAGATATTACAGGTACTTGGAACTGTATCCAGGATTCAAATACATACAGTTAAGTATAGCATGAATTCTAATTGGTCTTAATAGTAAAAACTCTGAGTCCAGCTATCAGGGAGTGAAAACGGAAGGATCAGAGAAGCAGATCGAAAAGTCACTAGAGTTCTTACCTCTACCAATGCTCAGACCAGAGGGGTGATCCTGTCCTGAGACTGCATCCTCAAACTGACTGCTCAGACTGACTGCAATGAGCTCCTGTCTCCTCCCGTCTTATATTCCTCTCTCTGCCCAGTCATATCCCTTCCTGTCTCCACCTCCATAGTGCTGGGATTAAAGCTGTGTGACTCCCGGGTGTTGGTGGCGCATGTCTTTAATCCCAGCACTATGGAGGCAGACGCAGGCGGATCTCTGTGAATTCAAGACCAACCTGGTCCACAAAAGCTAGTTCCACGACAGCCTCCAAAGTCACAGAGAAACCCTGTCTCGAAAAACCAAAAAAAAAAAAAGTGTGTGATTCCCAAATACTGGGATTAAAGGTGTGAACCACCAGATACTTTGCTTTGTTTCTCTTTTAGATTGGATCAATTTTGTGTAGCCCAAGGTGGCCTTGAACTAACAGAGATTTGTCTGCCTCTGCCTCTCAAGTGCTGGCATTAAAGGTATGCACCACCTCTATGGCTAACTGGTGTGTCTAGCTCTGCACTCTGATCTTCAGGCAAGCTATAAACAAAATAGCACTACAGTTAAGTTTTGGACCTTCTCTCCAAATTCATCCTCTTTATTGCCTTTGAGTAATGCAGTGAGAGTAAATGAGAAGTAAATTCTCCCACACAGTTAATACTGTTGCAGTACATAAGGCATATAATTCCTATAGTTGAGCTGCCTCTATTTTGTGAAGACTTTCCTGTTGTACTTTAGCTATAAGTGACATGGTAGTGAGTGATCCTTGTCTTCTGTTGTCTGAACACAATGCTGTTAGTTACTTCTTAGAAGGATCAGTTTATGTGATTTATCTAATTTAGTTTGGACTGAAGTTGGCAAACAACAGTTGACTTACTCAGCTCTGTGGTTTCCATATCAAAGCTGTGCACTTGTTTGTTTTCTGGGAACTTGCCCTGCCTATTAGTGTGTGTGTTAGTGTCTACTGTAGGACCACAGGGTAGAGGTGAGTAGTTGTGAATGGGACAGGTGGGCCATCAAGTCTAAAACGTTTGTTCTCTGGCTCTTTACAGAAAATGTTTGCCAGTTCTTAGTTAGATCCTTAAGTGCTTACCTTGGTATTGTTTTGAATGATTCGTTTTTATTGATGAAAGTGTAAACAAATGTGGCTTTATTGTATTTGTTTCATCAGGGTTTAGAAATTGTGTTTCGAGTGGGATTAGCACTTCTTCAAATGAATCAGGCAGAATTAATGCAACTTGACATGGAAGGGATGTTACAGGTAAGTCATTTCATGATTGCTTGTGTGTTTCTAGATATGCCATCAATAAATCATGTATAGTAATAATTCTGCCTTTCGTGTGTTATTTCTTAGCATTTTCAGAAGGTCATTCCACATCAGTTTGATGGTGGCCCAGACAAATTAATCCAGTCAGCTTACCAAGTCAAATATAACTCAAAAAAAATGAAAAAGTAAGTATTTTGTGTGCTCTCTTGTAGTTGAGGAGCTTAATGAAGCATACAGAAGTCAGTGGACACGGGAAGCATTCTTGTGAAAAGTACTGTAGTTTTCCTCCTTAGGCTGTCAGAGTTTTACCTGATTGGTTTGTATTAGCTTTGGTACGACAAAGGAAATGTTAGACAGATAGTCTTCCGGCTTTTATAGTGATACACAGGACCACTGCACACTACTTTTAAAATCCCCCCTTCCTTCCCATTTTGATGGGAGTCAGGAGTATGGCATGCATATGTGTGTAAGTGTGCTGTTATTTTTAATATTCACTATTATTACTCTTGGTGCTAGGCAATCAGCAGAGGGATTGAGAATGCTAAATTCGTGCTCCACCACCAGGTTGTACGCCAAACCTACCATGCTTGGTGTACCAAAGTTAGTTGCAGCCACTGACGTTTCCCTCTTAGCCCCTTCCTTAAGTGCTTAAGTGCTACACAGCCAGCAACACTGAGCAGAGGCTGGGGTTATCACCTTTTAATTGTTATTTCCTGGAGAAGCTTTGTGTGACACAGTTTTCATTATTTTTCTCTCTTAAAAATAAAGTTAGTATGTTAATTAAGAGTTATAGCTATTACAATTCTTTTCTAGCTTCCAATACTTAAATGATTCTAGCCTAAGGTCATAGCTAAAATTCGTGTCACTGGGGCCTCTGTGGTGTAAAATGTTTTTAAACTGTAGCAATGCTTATAGTAGCAGGATGCTGGTTGTTCTTTTGAGCCAGTTTCTCACTTTGTATCTCAGGCTGGCCTTGAACTCTGACAGTCACAGGATAAAAAGTGTCACCTTGTCTGGCTTACTCTGTTTTTCTAAATAATTTTTTTTTTTGTTCCTTTATAATACTAATTCTGAGCACAAGATATTTCCATTTTCTCCGGGTCCTTGCTGTATTAATTATTCCTTATGTATTTTATCTTTAACTTCTATTTAGTGTTTTATTGCGTTTGTTTATTCTATGTATTTGCATTCTCAAACAGGCCATCAGGTTTGGTAGTGCCCACAAAGGCATCTCACCAGCCTTCTCTTTGTCTTATTTGTGACATGGTCTGACTGTGTATCCCACTGTTCCGTTTGTTCCTCACGGGTACTGGGATCACAGGTGTGTACCACCACACCTGGCCTTAAGCTCTGTTTTATTTTCTTTGCTCTAAGAAGATCAATTTGCACTGAGTTTTGACTTAAAAGTACTAAAACAAAACGAATAGAGCATTCCATCTTGCTTTTTTGTGAAGTTTAACTCTAAAGGAGTGAATAGTTTGTAGTCATTATCTTAGCTTCATGTCCTATTTTAACTACCTTTTTTTCAACTAGGAACATATTCAAATATACAGAAAAGTAGAATGACAAATATCCATATTTTGTATCTAGCTCTCGAGATTGTTAATACTTTGCCATATTTATTTTCCTTAGAAATTGTGAAAGCCAAGTACTGTGATGTCATATTCCCTGACGTCAAGTGTCCATTGGTATATAATGAAGTTGTCTGCTTCCCTTGCTGTATGACTTTGTCATATGTGCAGTGTGTATGTCGGGTGATTTTGCCAAGGATTGCATCCATGCAGTGATCATAATCTACCCCTGTCCTGACCTTTCCTCCACTGCCCATTCGACTATTGTGTTATTTTTCTCTCATATAAATCATTTCAAGGTATACCTTGAGGAAAAGTAAAGGAATTTGGTTTTAGGTTAATATATCCTTTTAAATTAAATAATGTAATTACTTTTGAATGACAAATACCTTTAACTTTCTCTTTTTAGACATGAAAAAGAATACACTACAATAAAGACAAAAGAAATGGAAGAGCAAGTTGAAATTAAAGTAAGCATTTCAGGTTTTTTGTTTGTTTGTTTTTGAGACATGGTTTTGCTTTGGAGCCTGTCCTGGAACTCACTCTGTAGAGCAGGCTGGCCTCGAACTCATAGAGATCCGCCTGCCTCTGCTTCCTGTGTGCTGGGATTGAAGGTGTGTGCTACCACTGCCTGGCCATTTCAATGTTTTTTAAGATTGCTGCAGGAATCTGATAATAGGTATTAGAATGAAATCTGTGTTTACTGGCATCCTCCTATAGTTGACTGAAGCCACTGTTCCTCGGGTGTGAGAAGAAACAGTTCTCTCTTTCTGAGAAAACGGACCCATGGAAATTGCATTCTACTTAAACATAATTGTAAAACTTGCAGAGAAGGTAGTTACATGCTGGAGTCTAGAGCAGACCCATCTGAGGCGGACTATATAGGACAAGTCCCTTATGAATTAATTGTCCTGGAATGGCATGGCAGGATTCCCTTGGTCAGTGCAAATTTTTCATCTTTAAGCAAAATTTATACTTTTGAATTACCCTCAGGAAAACAGGTGGATTTTCAATTTGGAGGATGAATAAATATATTCTATGTACTCTGAAATTCTTATTTGTACCTCCTGTAAGCCAAGAAATTCCTTTTTAATTTAGAAAATACTAGTTTCTATAATAATGCAGATAAGATTGTACATGTCTGGTATAGTGGGTTAGCCTGTACCAGTAGAAAAAATAAGTTTGGCATCTTTAGATCAGTATAACTGTTAATATCTGTTCAATGTCTGCTCAGTACAGTAAACTCAGATACATTTTAGATAGGCTGGCATTGACCACCTCTGTCTGGCCTTACTGCCCCCACTTCCCAAGTGTTGAGACTGTCGGCCTTTGCCCCCAGGCTTGGCAAAGCCAGACAGCCCTCCTTCTTACTGCACTTATGTACTATTTTTGTTGATGAAGAAATGAAAACAGGAGTCAAGCCAGGCAGGCCTGATGGTGTGCACCTGTAATTTCAGCTACTCAGGAAGCTTGGAGCAGGGAAGCTACAAGTTCAAGGTCTGTCTGGGCTACAAAGTGAGTCCAAGGCCAGTGTGGATAATTTAGTGACCACCTATCTCAAAATAAAAGCCCAAAACACAGGCTGAGGCTGTAGCTCAGTCCGAGGTAGTGTAAGCATCCCAGAATTTGTAAGGCAATACCCAACACTACAGGAAGACAGCAAGAGAAGTAACAAAACAAAGGAAGGGCCCAAACGTTTAAAATTAAAAAAAAAAAAAAAAAAAAGAAGAAAGAAAGAACAACAAACTAAGGTTGGAGTTGCCAAGAAATAAAAAACATTTCTCTCCACACTGCTGTCTTCTCAGCTTTTAGCTCACTATGTTTTAGAGAACAGAGCAGGAAAACCTCACTCTCTTTGTAGTAACTAAGACTTGTTCCAGTCTGTAAGCCATTTAATAAGATGTAAAAATTCAGTTTATTTTCCCAAACTGAGGCTTTTGTGTATCATATAAACTGTACTTAAGTCTTAATGGAGAAATAGCAGATTGACTGGTGGAAGAATTTCCTGAGGAAGACATTTCTAGAAGAGAGTCGCAGGAAGTTAGGATTGAAAGCTGGGCTGAACTCTGAAAGAAATTAATACAAAATGGTAAAGGGTTTGAAGTGTGAGAGCTGGACAAATGGAAAGACAACATGGATTAAACATTTCAGAATGGTGTGATAGGGTAGCTCAGTGGGCAAGAGCACTTGCTGCATAAGCATGGAGATCTGGGTTGTAAAAATTGGACAAGGCTGTGTGCCTACAACCCGACTCCAGTGCTGCAGAGGGAGAGTCAGGAGGAGCCCGGGGTCCCACTTACTGTCAGCTTCACTCCAGGTCCAGTGAAAGGTCGTGTCTCAAGGGAATAAGTCAGAGAGTGGGAGAGCCAGGCACCATGCATCTTGCATGTGCACACGTGGAAATACAACACACACACACACACACACACACACACACACAGACACACACACACACAGACACACACACACACACTCCATTCACACACACACTCCATTCACACACACACACACACACACACACACACACACACACACACACACAACTCAGGAACAATTTTATGGGATTAATAAATTGATGGAATATATAACGAGATTAGTTGCAAAGTATTTAGATTTAACACTTAATAGTAACTTGGTAAGTATTGGAGTCTGGCATTTAACAATTACAAAAATGTACATTATTTATTCACCCATCCATCCATCCATCCATCCATCCATCCATCCATCCATCCATCCATCCATCCATTTTGGTTTTTCAAGACAGGGTTTCTCTGTGTAACAGCCCTGACTGTCCTGGAACTTGCTCTGTAGACCTGGCCTCAAACACACAGAGATCCTCCTGCCTCTCTCTCCCAAGTGTGGGATTAAAGGTGTGTGCCACCACTGCCTGGCCAAATGTACATTTTTTAAAAAATACGATTTTACCTTTTATATAAGAAAATACTAGTAATTAAGAGTTTTAAATTTTAGTTAGAAATAACTCATGATAAATGCTTTTGAATGTTTAGACTGTAAGGCTTTTTGTACTGTGGTATTTGTAATATGAATGGAAACTGGTATATAGTTTAAGAGCAATTTGACATTTACTCTATGAACATGCATATTTGAAGTTTATTCTTTAACTAGTATTTGAATACTAATTATATCATTAGGCTCTGTAGGAGACAGGGGTTCTTAGGATTAGATTATAAGGTAGGCTGTAGAGATAGTTTAGCTGTTAAGAGCACTAATTGCTCTTCCAGAGAACCGGGGTTAAATTCTGGCATCCACATGGTGGCTAACAGCTTCAGTAACTCATTTCCAAGAGGGTCTAGCACCCTCTTCTGGAATCCTTGGGCACTGCGAATATGTGGTGCCTGTATCTGTATACTCATTCGGATGAAACCCTCATACACATAAAATTAAGATAAATAAATAATTTAAAAAAGTATAAGCCATTATAAATGGAGAAAACAAAGGCTGTTTATGTGTTACATTTAAGTTTAAAGTTTAGTCCCAGCTGGCATGACAAATGGAATTGTTTCCTTTGCCATGTATTTCTATGCTAAGCTTTTGGTAGTTCAACATATGATAATATAACAGTTCTTCACAGTCATTTATTATTCTCCCTTTTTATTTTGTATGTCCATTGGTGTTTTGCTTGCATGTATGTCTGTGTGAGGGTGTTGGAGCCCCTGGAACTGGAGTTACAGACAGTTGTAAGCTGCCATGTGGGTGCTGGGAATTGAGCCAGGGTCCTCCAGAAGAGCAGTCAGTGCTCTTAACCTCGGAACCACCTCTCCAGCCCTTCCCTTCTTACTATAAAAGGTAGTAAGTACATTATCAACACTGTGACTTAGGGATCTGTTTTTTTCCTCTCAAGAATGCTTGCAAACAAACATTTTTTTCTTTTTCTTGGCAGAGGTTACGGACAGAAAATAGGCTTTTAAAACAGCGGATTGAAACATTAGAAAAAGTAAGTAAAATGACTATTGCAAGTTTCTGTTGAATGCTTTTTTTGTTTGTTTGTTTTTTTGCTTGTTTTTTGAGACAGGGTTTCTCTGTGTAACAGCTCTGGCTGTCCTGGAATTCGCTCTGTAGACCAGGCTGGCCTTGAACACAGAGATCTGCATGTCTTTGCTGGGATTAAAGCATGCGCCACCACCACCCAAGGAGTGCCTATTGTTTAAATATAACAAATCTAAAAAGAATTTGGCATGTATATCACTTATGTTGTGGTGCCGACCTCGTCTTCCATAGCTAACTGTGTTTGCTAGTCATTGATAATGAACATCCATGGAAAGGCTTGAGTGAAGTTATTATTAGAGTGACATACTGATATCAATTTCTTTTTTTCCCCCCCCCATAGAACCTCTAAAAAGTATGACTTAGGAATACATTCTGACAGGAAGGATGTTTTAAAGATGAATTTCAAATGTTCCCTGAGTTTTGAGCCATATGTTGAACATGGCAGTTGCTTTTTTTAAAAAAAATTATTTAACTTTATTTTATGTGCATTGGTATGAAGATATCAGATCCCCTGGAACTGGAGCTATAGACAGCAGTGAGCTGCCATGTGGGTGCTGGAACTTGGGCCCGGGACCTCTGAAAGAGCATCCAGTGCTCTCAACCACTGTGCCATCTCTTCAGCCCTGGCAGTTGCTTTTTAAGCAGCTTTATATTTAGTCAAAGTGATTGGTTCCCCATTTTAAAATCTGTTTTCATGTTGATTTTTAATGCTAGGTAGTTTTATACCTCTTTGGTTGTTAGCCTTGTGTTGATACCTACTTGTTAAGTTTTCCTTCCTGTTTAATGTAAAATAACTAGCAAGCAAGAAAATTTTCATACTTTTCTTATTGTGCTTTTGATAGTTTTTTTTTTTGGTTTTTTTTTTTTGGACAGGGTTTCTCTGTGGCTTTTGGAGGCTGTCCTGGAACTAGCTCTTGTAGACCAGGCTGGTCTCGAACTCACAGAGATCCGCCTGCCTCTGCCTCTGCCTCCTGAGTGCTGGGATTAAAGGCGTGCGCCACCAACGCCCGGCTGATAGAATGTTTTGTAGTTGTGTTTTTTTTTAACATTTATTATTATGTATGTTTATTCTGACCTGCATGTATGACTGCAGGCCAGAAGAGGGCACCAAATCTAATTGTAGATGGTTGTGAGCCACCATGTGCTTGGTAGGAATTGAACTCTGATCTCTGGAAGAACAGCCTGTGCCATCTCTCCAGCCCCTGTAGTTGTGTTTTTAAGAATGAATTGACTAATATAGTTTAAGTGTCTTCTTGAGCTAGACATGTAGCATGCACAAAGTCCTGAGTTTAGTCCCAGCACCATATACATTAATTGGACATGGTGGTATGTGTTTATAATCCCAGCACTTGGGAGGTGGAGGAGGGAGGGTCAGAAGTTCAGAGTCATTCTTGGCTATATTGTGAGTTTCAGGAAAGCCTACACTATATGAGACTGTCTCAAAAACAACCAATCCAACAATTTTCCTTAATTGAAAACAGATAAATTCAGAAGACCTTTTAAAGCTAAAGGTTGAGAGTAAGCTGGTGTGAATCTGCCCCTCAAGATATTACCAAGTATATTTAAAGTGTTCTGAAAATTTACAGGTTAACATTCAAGAAAGAAATAACTAGAAAGGGGGATAGTTGGGGTGTTTGTCCTTTATTCTAGAAACCTCCATGATTTTATATTAAATAGTGGTGCACCAAGGACAAAATATTTATCACAAATTTATTGATGTTGTAATGATTGCAAATACTGTATACCAAATCATGCACAGGGACAAGACATTCATCACAGGTCTAGTTGATGGTGCAGTGGCAGATACTGTATACCAAATCAAATATAGTTCCTCTTGTAAGATTGTATTGCAATGACTTGGAAGGCAATTTTACTTTTTGGTGATTTCATACACATATTGAGCTTATTAAGTCCTTTTAATTTGTATTATCCCTGTTTCAACCAAATACCCAGCTTGCAGTAAAATATGCAACTTAAATGATTTTCATTATTAGATATTTTCACAGAGAAAGTGTTATTTCATTAAATCTTCAGCGTGATAAAGAAGATCTAGGAAGATGTAGCTTGGTTTTGTGTCTAGAAGGATAAATAACAGTTTTTCACTGGCACTGGGCCTTAGTTTTGACTTAGCATTTAGAATTATCTAAGCACTTAGGTCTCAGTTGAATTCTTGAACCAAAAGTGTACATCCTGGCTTATTGTCAAGAGTTTAAATTGAACTTTTGAATTTCTGTTATCATCTTTCTTGACTTTTTCTCTCAGATGCTAATGTTGTACCCAGTTGCTGCTGTGTTTTATGAATGATGTATTGCTGACTCAGATCCCTTCCTCCCTTTCTGGAAGTGGTTTGATGATGGGACTAGGCCCAGAAATAAAGATTTAAAGGTGTATTTTCAAGGAAAAAAAATACTTGTTTATCCCAAGTAATGAAAGATTTATCTCTTTCGGCAACATGATTATCTAATCTGTCCCTATTTTGATATTTGTTTTTTAAGATTTAGAAATAAAAACACTTATTAAAATAGTTTTAATTTAAATGTCCATTTTAAATAGCAGTGAAAAGTTGGTGGGATTTGGGTGTGGATGCTTCTTCTTATTCCTAATTTTGTCACTTTGATTTCCTGTCTTTTATATTTCTATCTAAATTTTTCCTTTTGTAGGAAAGTGCCTCCTTGGCAGATAGATTGATACAGGTATAGTTTATCTTTTTTATTTTTAGTGTTTTCACTAACCTCTAAAGAAAATCCTAAACTTAGAAATTCATACTTAATGCATGCAATATTACATGCATTTTCTTAGAAATAATTCTTTGGGCTGGCATATGGATGCATACTTAATGATTTGATAAATGTATTATCATTAATTGGATGCCTGTCTCTGCACGTTTTAAAGCTAACCTTATTTTTAAAGTATTTATTTTAAATGTCAAACAGTGGATTCTCTGACATTAACCACTGTTCATTGAACATTTTAGCCCTGCATGTACATCTCAGTAATACTGCATGAGTCGCTTTTTTTTTTTTTATCAACTAAGAGAATTGTTCTTAAGACTGTCACATGAAAATTTCATTTAGTTTCCTCAAATTTGCTAGAGCAAAATAACAAGCTCCTAGCTAATAATTACCTAGGCTATTCTCTGTTCTCTGAGGTGTTTTGTTGTGTTGTTTTTTTTATGTCAAGAAATAACTAAACCTCACAAAGGCAGTCTTTCTTAAATCTATTCTAAATTGCTTTATACACACAAAAAAATTATGTCCTAAGGGACAAGTGACAAGAGCCCAGGAGGCTGAGGAAAACTACCTCATAAAACGGGAGTTGGCCACCATCAGACAGCAGAGTGATGAGGCCAGTGCTAAGTTGGAGCAGGCTGAAAGCACCATCAGGGAGCTCCGGCACCACCATCATTGGGTAAGGAGTCGGAGCCTTCTTCATCTCCTCTTAGGTCACATGCCTGAAGCACAGCTAAAGAACTGCTAAAACTCCCGTATGTTCTGTAACTCAAAGGAGTCCTGTTCTTCTATTTTCCTCTGTGGTTTTGTTAGAAATAGATAATATTTTCTTTTATATTATATCCTAAGTCATAGAAGACAAGCAATGTGCAGCTGCTGTTTAGACTTTTAGGTATCTCTTTCATAGGAGGTAATGCTGACATCAGATAGTTTTTGATCACTGTAAAGCAAAGTTATTACTCAGCATTTAGAATGTATGTTTAAAACTTTTATGATGTCGATAGCTTATACTTTGTGAAATATTCTACCTTAGACTTCTGTATCAGAACATTGAATGATGAGTTAAAGTACATGCTTACATTTACTTGAAGTGGAGAAAAGTTGTCAAATAGGGGAGTAATTCTTAAAAAATATAAATTACTGCTGGGCAGTGGTGGTGCATGAATGGGCATTACTGTTATTCAGCAAAATTAATCTGTATTCAACAGTTAGAAGACTAGAAAAGAAAAGAGTGATGAAGTATAAACATGTGTTTCTATTAGTTATGAAAAATGGCTATGTTAAAGTAATTCTGAAATGACCACAGCTGCAATAGTTTGTTCTGCCTTTAATAGCAAGGCATGAAACAGAATATTTTCTTTATAGTAAAATGGACATGATTTGTCAGTGCAGTGTCGTCTGTTTGGAAGGAAAGTAAGTTATAGTGCTTGTATCAGTATCAGCTGCAACTTTGATACAGTTAAGCCACAAGACATAGAAGACAGTTAATGCTGAAACCCATGGGAGTGTAGTAAATTGTAGGAAGGTGTGCAGAATGAGTGAAATTAGTAGCATAGGCTTGAGGGAACTTCCAAGTTCAAGTTGTAAATCTCAAATATTAAAATGCCTTGCAGAATGACTGTGGAAATAGTAGAAAGTGAGAGATAAAGCGGCCTTAATGTAGACACATGAATTTCTCACAAAGCAGTGAGTGAGTGTTAGGATTGTTAGTGTGGCCTTGAATATATGCTTCATTGAGAATTCTAAAGAATCGATCTCATGGCTTAGTACAAGCTGTGTCAAGACAGAAAAATGTTATTTCTGTAGCTATAGGTGAATATATTTTGTAGCTGTAGTGTATTTCCATAAGTTATTTGGTGAGTTATTAATGACCTTTTTCTAATCAAGACAGAAAATAAGATGAAAATATTAAATATACATGGTTAAATATATCAAGAGACTACTTATTTTCCTGTGTGAAGGTATTAAAGAACTTTGTCACTTAAACCTGTGCATAGTGGGGGCTGGAGAGATGGCTCAGAGGTTAAGAGCACTGCCTGCTCTTCTGGAGGTCCTGAGTTCAATTCCCAGCAACCACATGGTGGCTCACAACCATCCATTATGAAGTCTGGTGCCCTCTTCTGGTGTGCAGATAAACATAGAAGCAGAATGTTGCATACATAATAAATAAATAAATAAATCTTTAAAAAAAAAACCTGTGCACAGTGCTTCATATTAGACTGTCCATAATAAGCTCAAGGACTTTGTACGTGAATTATTTTAAAAATGGAGCCAGTGTTTTAGATGATAAACCAAGATTAATTCTTACGTTAAATATTACATACATTTAATTTCTATTTAGAGCAAGAAGGTGGAAGATTATTTCACAAAATTGATAGCCCTTGATACTCTTAGAATTAATATTCACATATTTATGTTATCACTGCCATATGTGACAAAAGTATAAGAGATTTGAATTGAGAGAATCAGAATCTCATCTGTTGCAGTTTTGACAAAAGAGAATTGCAAAGTAGTAGGCAAGCTAGTGATAGAAGTGAGTACTGAGTATTGCTAGATATTTTGGTTATCGTCTTCCTTTAAATACAAGTTTATGGGTGTTTGAACTCTCACAGTGTTTAAAATCCATATTCCAGCAGGAGATAATGAGTTTTTAATACAGGTTTCTACTACCACCTTCTACTCATGTCGTACTAGCATTTTATGTGATATGAAGAGCTTTAGGTTTTATATATGGAACTAGGTTTCAGTCCTATTGTGTTAACAGTGATCTTTGATATTCAGGGTACTTTTGGTTCCAGAAATAATTTAAGTAGAACTAGATCATTTAAAGTCTCTCATTTTTCCCCCCACATAATTTGTGAAATTTAAGTATGTAATTTGATATGTTTTAAATGTAGAGGGGTTGTGTAACTACCATAACAAAAATGACAATTTCTATCACTTTCATATTGTCCTGTGTTACAGTTCATTCTCCACCCTTATCCTAGCAACCTGTGCCTGAATACTTTGGACTTTCCTAGAATTTTCTATAAGTGGAGTTGTAAGATAGACTTACATATCTAGGTTTTTTTTTTGGGGGGGGGGTCGGTTTTAAGACGGGGGTTTCTCTGTGTCTTTGGAGGCTGTTCTGGAATTAGCTATTGTAGACCAGGCTGGTCTCGAACTCACAGAGATCCACCTGCCTCTGCCTCCCAAGTGCTGGAATTAAATGTGTGCACCACTAACGCCTGACATCTAGTTTTTTTTTTTTAAGTTAGCATATCCATTTACTTTATACATTTTGTGATTTTTTATTGATATATATAATGAAATTTACCATTTACATAAGTGTGGTTCAGTGGCATTGAGTGTATTTCCATTGTTAGTAACAGTACCATTGTTCATAAAAATTTCTCATGATTTTAAACTCTTCTCCTTAAATAAGAAACAAATGAGCTTACTGTTGTGAAAAAGCTTACAAAAAATGACACGTTTAGTCAGGATGGTTATAGTAAGTATGTCCTGACAGGAAGGGCTTGAGAGATGGCTCACGAGCACCTGATTGCAGGTCAGCTCCCTCTTCAGGAACACTGTGTACATACATGCACGCAGGGCAGGCAGCAGATGTGCTCCCACAGCACGCAGAGTTCTTGTGCTGGAGCAGCAGGGTGATCAGCGTTGGATCCGAAGGAAGCAGGTGGAAACTCCCTCAAGGCTGGCCTTGGATGTATCTTAATAAGGGGTGTGCTTCCCTTTAGACTAGCTGAGGGGGTCTGGAACTAGAGCAGGGAGTTGTAACAGGTCACCAGTTCAAGGGCTGTGGGACTGTATTTGAGAAATACAGAAGGTAAGAATTTGAGTGTCTGCATTTTCACTGATTGGTGAGGAGAGAGCATCTTTGGCTACTGGTGGTAATAGGGGCTGTTACACAGCCAAGCTTTTATGTGATTTCAGGATATGTAATTTGAATAGGCCAGTTCTTTTTGTTGTGCAAGAGGGCAGATTTTATGTTTACCTACTTAGGAATACAGTGGATGTATTATCCACTTTCAGGTTGTTGTGACAGATCAGGTAGAGCAAATCAGCTCTCAGGGAGGAAATTTATTTAGTCATACTTTCAGCTCATAGTTAATTGGACCTGTTTCTTTGGACCAGTGGCAGCATTTACATCATGTTGAGAACTTTGAAGTGTGAGAAACCAGGAAGCAGGAGTGTCTCTTTCAAGGACACACCCCTAGTGTACCCCTTCCCCCACTATACCCCATTTCCTAAAGGTTCCATGTCCTTTTATCTGAGTGATTCGGGATTTGACCTACAGCAGTTGGCCCCTGAAGGTGAATTGAGGTGGGCATAGCTGTAGAGATCTGGAAGGAGCAGGCTTTAATAGGCTGCTGTGTGGCCACTGGAAGTTTGTGTAACTTGACAGCTGAGAGTGACTCTTGAATGAAAATGACCCTCATAGGCTCATGCGTTTGAATGCTTGGTCCTAGTTGGTGGACTGTTTAGGAAGTATTTAGGAGGTGTGGCCTTGTTGGAGGAGGAATGGCAAGGGTTGTGGGCTTTGAGATTGTAAGCCTAAGCCAGACCCACTCTCTTTCTCCATCCCCATCTCACTGAACTGTAAGCACCCCCAATTAAATGCTTTCTTTTATAAGTGTCTCTTTACAGCAACAGAACAGTAACCATGATGAGCAAAGAGTTAAGGATGGAAAGTTAGAGCATCTGTTCCAAAGTAGATTTCAGAATCAATTGGTATGAGGACTGTCCACAATAGCAAGTGTAATGATCTCACTTAAGATTGAGTATATTTAGGAATATAGAGCATTCAGTGTTCCTACCAGTAGAGGGTTTTAACTGATGAAATGGGTAATATGAACAAACTCGCAGTTGTAGTCCCTTAAGATTTTGTTTTTAATTATATGTGCTGTATGTTGCTGGCTGTGTGCAGTGTCCACAGAGTCCAGAAGAGGGCTTCTGGAGATGGAGTTAGAGACAGTTGTGAATTTCTAGATGGAGGTACTGGAAATTGAACTCAGGTCCTCTTAACCACCGAGCCATCTCATGAGCCTCAACACATTTGTAGTCTTTAAATACTCCATCTCAGTAACTGGTAAAAGCCAGTTGGTGACAGGTCATTATTGAATAGAAACTCTGAAGAGTTCTGTTGCCATATTGAACTGATGGGCATTTGTAAAACAATATCAAAATACACATTAAAGTATGTGTAAAGTATAATTCTGGGTCATAATTTATATTGTATTTAATATTTTTACATGCATGTAATGTTCTTTGATCTCTTAAAATTTAAAAGAATTAAAATATCTTCTTTGACTTTATCATCATTCAGTTAGAAATTAGTAATAGAGGGACTAGAGAGATGACTCAGTGGTTCAAGTATTTGCCAGGCAAGCATTTAGATACCTGGAATAAATGCTGAGTGGGAGCAGCATTCTGTCTGTAATTCCAGCACTTGGAAGAGGGAGATAGGATCCTGGAAGCAAGCTAACTAATCAGACTGGCTTGTATTGGCACAGTAAGCTTTTGACAGCTTTTGCCTCTGTGGAAAGCAGTCAGGGAAGGCTCCTGTCATCATCAACCTTGGGCCTCTACACGCACTCACTTGTAACACACACACACACACACACACACACACACACACACACACACACACACACACACACACACACACACACACACACGGGGGTGGGGGGAGAAGTCAGATAGAAAGCTAACCAATCTGAATCCAGAGCATCTGAGTCTGCAATGATCAGTGAATCTGATAGGCCTCTGTCTATAATGACTAAAGACGGGAGAAACAATAACCAGGATCAGGAGTAACAATGACTTTTTGCAGATAAAGCACAATTGTTTTATTTCATATTCTGAGTTTTTCTGATTCTTCTCCAGAGTGCCATTGTACTATTTATAAACTGGATTCACTTAGACGTTTAGATGAGAGAGAACATTGTAGAATTCATTCTGTTTTTAATCAGAAAGTGAGTTGTGTCCTAGACCAGTGGCGAATTTGGTTACCAGGCTTAGTTAGATTGATTACTGTACCTTCCTTTTGTAAAGATGTGAGTTTATCTTTGCAACTGTTAAGCAGTCTAGTGGGAATATGTTTGCACCAAATAGCTACAGCTGACTACAGATGCTTCTTGGTGTCTTTAGTCTGATTGATTCCAGGAAGTACACTTAGATCTATGGCTGCTCAAAATCCTCACATAGCTGGGCATCATAGTAACATATACCCTCCTCATATCTTTCTGTGTACTTTACATTTAAATTTATAGGTTACGTATGCCTCATCAGTGTAATTAACATGTAAATAAATAGTTATAACTTAGAAAATAATGTCAAGAAAAAATAATTATTTAATACATTTGCGAATTTGTGAAACTTTCCATCATTGGGTTGTGTCCATAAATAGGGAGTCCACTGGTGTGGGGGTCCATCTATCTGTGTTCATTGTCTTTTATCTAAATGTTTGGACATCCATGCATCTGTGTAAAGTTAGTTATTTCATGAGTTTTCCAAAGTGGTGGTTTTCACTTTTTTCCTCACTTGTTCTGCACTTATCAGTGTTCTTTTGAAAGAAAATTCTTGTCTTTCCTCCTTTAACTGCTTTTCCCCCAGCCCCTCACTAAAGCCTCTTTTGTGTCACTTTTGTTTATTCAGTATTTCATATGATCTTAAAGAGTTCAGTGCAACTGGTGTAATGATGTGATACTCATTTAAAATTTAAAAGTGTAAGGCTTGCCTTTTGCTTGTTTATCATTGGAAGTTGTAAATATTCCTAAGTAATTTGAGAAAATATGTTCAATAGTGTGGTGATATTTTATTTATGATTTATTAAAGCTCGCCTGAGGATTCAGAAAGCAAAGCGAGCCTCAAGCTATAGAGGCTAGGCAGTGGTGGCATACACCTTTAATCCCAGGACTCAGGATTAGGAGGTAGCTGGATCTCTGTTAGTTCAAGGCCAGACCGACTACATGAAATTGATCCAGTCCTAAAGAGAAACAGCTCACACAAAGGTGATCTCAGCACCTGGGATCATATGCCTTTAATCCCAGCACTAGGGAGGTGGAGACAGTGATAATGGCTGGGTAGAGAAAGGAATAAAAGGCAGGAGGAGACAGGAACTGAGAACTTTTATATTTATATATAATGTTTGTCTTTCATTTTAAATAAATAAGAGCTCACTACAGTGAGAGTATTTGTTTTCTTAACATTTCCTTATCATTAATAGTAATTGAAAATAACTGGAGAAATTTTAATTTTAAAGGATTTAAGCAGTTTTTTAGGTATTAGAAGGAAATCATATTTAAGTGATGGGTGTTTTTTGATAGTACTGGAATTTGAATGCAAGGCTAATGCATGCTGGACATGTGGTCTGTCCAGCTAGCTGTGTCCCTAGCCCTGTTTTTACTTTTTGTGTTGATATATGGTCTTACTAAGTTGCACATAGTGACCCAAATTCACTCCAGCCCAAACTACCTTTGAGTTTTTCATTCTTTTCTCTTAGCTTCCTAACCGCTTCAGTTATAGGCATGTGCCACTATGCCTGATAGATTTAAGAACAACAACAACAACAAAACCCACAGCCATTTTGGACACATGGGTAGGGATGGTTGTGAACATTTTTGGGGGCCATGTACCTGGAGATCAGAATATGCATTTTTGTTACAGAAACCTGTTCTCGAATACTCTGCATTCTGTAATTGTTTATTTCTTCTAGATGCTTGCGAATGTGACAGTCACATTCATAAGACTGTTTTACTATTTAATTTTGTGTTTACATGTACTATTACACATTTTTGTCTTGGGAGTAAGTAAAAACATATTTTAAAAGTAGATGTAAATTGCTAGGTGGAGATTTGAGTAAAATGGAAACATAAAAATGAGGGTTTGCATCAACATCATCAGCGACATTTGTGATTTATTTACCTGTTGTTTTGTGCTACAGCTTTTACATGTAATGGGCTTTACGAAACTGCAAGTGGCCTCATTGGCACATGTCAATGCCAGTGGCGTAAAGAGGGAAAGGGAAGATAGATGTCATGCCTTGGTGATTTGATTTGTTAGTGTAGCATCTGTTGTTTTTCTCTTCTTATGCTAATCTATGCACATATTTTAAAGAAATTGACATTTCTAAAGCAATACAATTTTGCTTACTTAGGGCTTAAGATATTTCGCCTTATTTGGTGTGCCATTTTTTACTTTCGACGCATTAAAATCTAATTTTTAGGCTTTATTTGCTTCTGTAGCCTGTTAATGAGCTACATAAGCAGTCTTAAGATATTGTATTGTCTATACTGCAAAGGGTAAAAGGGAAGTTAATGTTTTTTGTTTACCTCAACTTTAAATAATATGTCAACATGCCACCAGCATAAAAATCATGGAGTTAATGTGCTTACTTAATTTTATTCTTTTCGTCGTAGTACTGGGTGTTGAACGAAAGGGACTTACCCTGAAAACAGTTAGTGTCTTGTTTGTAACCATACTCAGCAAGGATTAGGCACACATCACATACTAAGTGACCATGTGAGGCTAATGGTTACCATGTTGTCTGTAGAGTCAGAACAGATCTTTAGTATCTTGAGAGGTAGACAGAAAGGAGACAGGTGCTTCATATGAACAGGGTTTAGGAGTGGAATAGCTCGTTACCAAAACCCATTACACAGTCATCCCCAAAGGCACCAGAACCCACCCACCCTCCCTCCCTCCCTCTCTCCCTCTCTCCCTCTCTCCCTCCCCCTTTTAAACTCATTTGTTGGAGAAAAGGAAATAATTTGGAATACTGGGTAGATCAAATTTTACTTTTTAGTTGCCTATAATACCCACATTATATGATTTCATTATTTTTCCTGTATGCATGTATTTACATGTTTGTGCTTCCATAAAATTTCAGTATGTGTCTCTAACCTTTAGCATAAATGCAGCTCCACGTACAACGAAGATTTTGTGCTGCAGCTGGAGAAGGAGTTGGTCCAAGCCAGACTGAGTGAGGCCGAGTCTCAGTGCGCACTGAAGGAGATGCAGGATAAAGTGTTGGACATAGAAAAGGTAAGCAAGACTGCTGCGCGCTGCCTGCTTCCACACCTGCCAGGAGCCATGGCAGACACTTAGTGAGTTCCTGCCGAAGAGCTGATTAGACCTGATGCTTTTTACATATAAGACCTGAATGTTAGTTATGAGTCAGCAAATAAGGAAATGTTACTGGTTGCTCAATGGTGAGTGCTTGCCTAGAATGCATGAGGTCCTGACTTCAGGCCCTTGTCCCACATGAAGCCAGGTGTGGTGACGACACACATCTGAATCCCAGCACTCAGGGTTTACAGGGAGCAGTTTAAACTTAGCCTGGTGTACAGGGGACCCCTTCTAAAGGGAGAGTGGAAAGGCAGAAGATAAAAAACGGCTTTAAGGCTGTCAATTAAGAGAATCCTTTCCTGTGTCTGAAAGTTAGACTATTCTCCACTTGTTGTTCAGTCAGATTGTTACTACAGCTCTGTATGTAACTTACAATGGGTGTTGTTGGCACTTCTAGTACTTACTGCTCTAGCATTCAGTATTGTTTCTAGCTATATTTTCGTGTTTCCTAATAAAACTGAAGATTGATTTTTTTAATTTCTTTGAAGAATTACATTGGAATTTTTATGGGCATTGCATTGAATCTGTAGATTGCTTTGGTGGGATGGTATTTTTGTTGTTAATCCTACCAGTGTATGAGCATGGGAGATCTTTTCATCTTCTGATATCTTCTTTAGTTAAGAGTGCCAGTCCTTCCTGGTTAATTTCTTACAAATTTCCATATTTCAGGATACAAATAGAGAGCTGGGTGGTGGCGGCGGCGGTGCACACCTTTAATCCCAGCACTTGGAAGTCAGAGACAGGTGGATCTCTGAGTTCAAGGCCAGCCTGGTCTACAGAACAGATTCCAGGACAGGCTCCAAAGCTACACAGAGAAACCCTGTCTTAAAAACCAAAAAAAGAATACAAATAAAGATGAATTCAGTCCCCAGAATCCACATGGTGGAAGGGGAAAACTAACTCCTGCAGGTTATCATCCAACCTCCACAGATGTGCGCATGTGCACACACAGGCATACAAAACTAATTTTTAAACAATGTGGTAAGTTTTAAAAGAAATCTCAACTTTTCCCTGACTTTAGAAGAACAACTCGTTCCCTGATGAGAACAACATTGCAAGGCTTCAGGAGGAGCTCATCGCGGTGAAGCTCAGAGAAGCGGAAGCCATTATGGGTTTGAAAGAACTCCGACAGCAAGTCAGAGATCTAGAAGAACACTGGCAAGTAAGTCAGACTTGTGCTTTTCCAAAAGGAACTAAAACGAAAGTACTTAGTTTGTATGGATTTGAAATACCTGGTGATCAACAGTAGGCAAAAAAAAAAAAAAAAAAATCTTGCTCAGTGTCACAATTGAGAACATTTACAACTTGGAAGTACATTTAAGATGTGCTTTATATAATTCTTAAAGTGAAACAAAAGATAAAATAGAAACCAGATCATGTTTTTTTTTTTTTTTAATTTAATATAATTTTTTTCAAGGCAGGGTTTCTTTGTAGTTTTGGAGCCCGTCCTGGAACTCGCTCTGTAGACCAGGCTGGACTCGAACTCACAGAGAGCCACCTGCCTATGCCTTCTGCTGGGATTAAAGGTGTGCACCACCACCACCCATGAAAACCAGATCATATTTTTTATTGCTTTGAATTTTTGCATTGTTCACCTTTTCCTAGTGAACTATAAAGAAATACTCTTCTTATATAGTCCAAAACTTTTCATTTTATTAAATATTTTTATCCTTTGAGAATGTCGTACATGTATACGATGTATTTTGATTATATTCACCCTCATGCCTCCCCCAAATCATCCCAGATAATACAGTTTACCTTTCCTTCCAACGTCAGACCCTCATTTTGTTCTTTTAGACTCACTAGTCCCATCTGTGCTGCCCATACGCTCATGGGTATGGAGTCAGCCATTTGAGCATGATTGATCTACCAGGGGTTGCATTCCCTTGTCCAAGAACAACTGTCAGTAGCTCTTTAGCTGTGGGTGGGAGCCCAAGAGCCTGCCCCCTTCATGCTGAAATGTTGATTGGCTTCATCTTATGCAGGTTTTGTGCAGGCAACCACAGCTGCTGAGAGTTCTTGAGTACGATGGTCCCATCATGTCCAGAAGACATTATCTTGTCCTGGGCTTCCCCACCCCCTCTCCCACAGTGGCTCCTGAGCCTTGAGAGGAGGGGCATGACCCAGGTGTGTCGTTTATGACTGACCACTCCATCACTTTGATCAGTTGTCAGCTTCTGTGTTAGCTGTTGCTCACTGCACAAAGACTGACCTGTTAGAGGGCAGTTTGGTACTCTGTTCATGTAGCAAACAAAGATTTGCTTTGCTGTTTTGGTACATTTCTGGGAAGTGTGAAGCAGCTGAAGGGGGCACCAGTGTATATTTGTAAATTTCTGACATCTTTTGAAAATGCTTATCACAAAATAAATGATACTTTAGGTATATTCCTATAAATGTATCGACTTGTAAGGGAAATTTGATAAAGAACAAAATGTAGGGGGCTGGAGAGATGGCTCAGAGGTTAAGAGCACTGACTGCTCTTCCAGAGGTCCTGAGTTCAATTCCCAGCAACCACATGGTGGCTCACAACCATCTGTTATGAGATCTGGTGCCCTCTTCTGGTGTGCAGATATACATGGAAGCAGAATGTTGTATACATAATAAATCAATAAAAGCTTAAAAAAAAAGTAACAACATGTAAGGAGAGAATGGAGTTTTAAAAACTGCTGTTTCAGAATGGTGATCTTGGCTTGAACTGAGAGTGGGAAGAGACCTCTAGTAAAGACTGAAATTAGTCTTTGAGGGGCCTGTGAGACCAGTCAGTGGAAGGAGAGACTTGCTGCAAGGCATGACCAAGGCTGAGAATCTGAATTGGTTCCACTGGACTCACAAGGTGGAAGAGAACTGACTTTTGCAGGTTGTCCTCTGAGCTCCATATGTGTGCCATGGAGTACTCCCAAACATCGAATAAAATGTAATATAATTTTAAAAGAACAAAAGAAAGTAGTCCTTGATATTGTCATTTTTTTTTAAATGTATTTTGAAAAGTACCCAGCTGCAACAAAGTATCAGCTAAGTGGGGCCTGGTTATGTGTATCTGGAATCCCAGCAACTTAGGTGGCTGAGGCCGGAAGATCATAAGCCCCAAACCTAACAGGAGTACAATGCAAAAGCTTCTCTCAAACAAATAAAAGGATCTTGGACAGTGCTTAAATATGTGCTCTATAAAGTTAACTCTTATTTTGATAAAGTGTTTGTTGCAATACAATGTTTTATGCTTCAGCGTCATTTAGCTCGAACTTCTGCGAGATGGAAAGATCCGCCCAAGAAAAATGCTTTGAATGAGTTACAAGATGAGCTGATGAGCATTCGCCTTAGAGAAGCAGAAACACAGGCGGAAATAAGAGAAATGAAGCAAAGGATGATGGAAATGGAGACACAGGTATGATGGGCAGGCCTGATTGGCTTGCAAGTAGCACTAGGTCAGAGTCTTACACAGCTATTGTCTCAATTTTTTTATGTTACAAAAAATAACATTGAGGAGATACTATAAAGTTATGAAGAGTGAAAATCTAGGTTTTAAATAGGAAATTTAAATTCCATGCCATTGTGTTTAGGGAGTGGTAAATCAGTAAAAAAATTAACATTGTTTCATCCTTAGAATTAAGGTAAAAGGTGAAGTCTAGACAGCAGTTTTCTAGTCTTCATGCAGAAAACTGAAAGTTTCCTGCTCTTACTCTCTTGAGATAGGGTCTGTCATTGAACCTGGAATGGTGGCAACTTACATTTTTTTACAATTAAGCTAGCTGGCTAGCAAGCTCCAGTAATTTTCCTGCCCATGTCCCCAACACCCTAGCTCTAGGTTCAAATGTGAGCCCACCTTTTACACAAGTGCTGACCATCTAAACTCGGGCCTTTATGCTTGTTCACCAAGCACTCTTGCTCACAGCCATTGCGCCAGCCCTATTTTGTTTTAGCTTTGTTTGTTTTGGGTTTTGGTTTTTTTTTCTTCTTTTTCCAGACAGGGTGTGCAATGTCCCTGGCTGGCTTGTTGTTCACTCTGTAGCCTGAATTAGTCTCAAACTAGTGACAAACCAGCCCCAACCTTCCCAGTGCTGGGATTATAGGCATACACATTTTTTCCCCAGAGGTTTAATCTCTGCTTTGACCCTTCGATACATTTTAAGCAAGCCAGACTCCATCTGGGTTTATTAGTGTTGGCTGATTGCACAAATTAAGAAGGGAAATTCATATAGAGCAAGGTTCCTCAACCTGAATGCGTAGCATTTGGGCTAGAAGTTGTTTATGTAGCTAGCCTGTGCATCTCAGGGTGTTTAGCAGCAGATGCTCTTCTCTTTCTCCATACATTTTCAACAGAGAATCACAGATGTCAACTGTTATGGAATGTGACCCTGAGTAATTAGTTTAAAATGTAAGTCTGGAATTAGCTCCTCAGGTCCCTTCTCTGTGTTGCACCCTGTCCTAAATGTGTGTGCCCTAAGATGTGCAGGTTGTTTTACTGACAAAACTTGTTTGCATTGTAAATTGGGCTTTTATGAATTATGTTTTTGTGACCTGTATTTCACATAAAGTTGTCCTGTGGGATCCACGGTGCAGATTGTGGGATCTTCAGATGCCCAAGTTCCTTAAATAAAATGGTTTATCATTTGTGTGTAACCTATGTGCATTCTCTAGTATACTTGAAACCATCCCCAGGTATGATGTATAATAAAACACAGAAGCAATAGAAATGATTGTTACACTCGATTATCTAGGGTATAATTACAAGAGAAGTCTGCATATATGCAGTACAGGATACAATAAAAAAATATTTCAGTCAGCAGTCTGAATTCATGGATACATAGGGAAGGGCAACAGTGCTTATTACTGATTTTCAGAGTATTTTTTCAGTCAGTAGGGGGCGCAGTTTACTTCCGTCTCATTCTGTATTCTAGTGAACAAATACGGTGATTCCGTGCCAGGCATGCCAGTGTGAATATTCAGTTTCTTTAGGATAAACATAACTGGTTTCATATCATCCAGTTACTTTCTCAAAAGGTTTTGTTGAAATTCAATGAAGTTTTATTGAAAATAAATAAAATATGTGAGAGGCTAAAATTATGAGAAGTCAGATTTTATAAAGGGAGGCTTCATTTATTTATTTGTTTGTTTGTTTGTTTAGTTTTCTGAGACAGTTTTCTCAGTGTAGCCTTGGCTGTCCTGGAACTCGCTCTGTAGATCAGGCGGGCCTTGAACTCACAGAGATCCAACTGCCTCTGCCTCCCAAGTGCTGGGATTAAAGGCTACTACTACTACTACTCTGTGGGAAGTTTTATGAACAAAATTTATACACATATATGTGTGTATTTGTATATGTGGTGGTGGGGGGTGTGAGTCAAATTCCAGACATGGTTTGGAGAACCTTTGAAACATGAAGTGTTGCCCAGTCATTAAAGGATGGACAGCTGAGCAGTCAGATGTCACAGACTGTAGCAAATATGACCCAGAAACCAAACCTAAGTTCAGAGTGAGAGACAAGTTGCTACCCCACATATGAGAGGACATTTAACTACAACTAGGTAATCTGGGGAGTGGCTTTCTAGAGGACACGTGTTTCAAACTATGCTGTACAGGCAGCTGAGACTTGTGCTAGATTTTCCTATGGGTCTCTGGTTTGTAAATGCTAAGACCTTGGACTGGTAGTAATCATGAAGTTTTTTGAAAAGTCAAAAAAAAAAAAAAAAGCTATGGTACAATGATAGTGGCGTATAGTTAGCTGCAACATTATCGTGAGGGTCCATGTAGTCACTGTCCAGAATTTGTTCATGTTGGTATGTGTCACTCCAATTCCTTCATGGAAAACACTTTCAGAACTTTGACTGCTGAGTATATCCCAGTGTATTGAACCGCTGTCCTCTTTCTATATGCACATTCTATGTTGAAAATAGCTCTACTCTGAGCATTCATGTGTGAGTTTGTGTTTTTTCCAGGAGTTTATTTAGTGTGATGGTCTCTCTTTGTGCTTTGAACACTGTTGCCGTCTGGATCATTTGGAACTCTTACCTTGTCAGGATAGTGATTTTAAATGCATAGAGCAAAATACATGACTGCAAAAACAGAGCAGTTATTCTGAGGTGGGATTTTCAAAGCACTAAAACAGCTGTGTGACACAGAACATATGCACACAGAAACACTCAAAATGCTGTGACACAGAACATATACACACAGAAACACTCAAAATGCCGTGACACAGAACATATACACACAGAAACACTCAAAATGCCGTGACACAGAACATATACACACAGAAACACTCAAAATGCCGTGACACAGAACATATACACACAGAAACACTCAAAATGCCGTGACACAGAACATATACACACAGAAACACTCAAAATGCCGTGACACAGAACATATACACACAGAAACACTCAAAATGCCGTGACACAGAACATATACACACAGAAACACTCAAAATGCCGTGACACAGAACATATACACACAGAAACACTCAAAATGCCGTGACACAGAACATATACACACAGAAACACTCAAAATGCCGTGACACAGAACATATACACACAGAAACACTCAAAATGCCGTGACACAGAACATATACACACAGAAACACTCAAAATGCCGTGACACAGAACATATACACACAGAAACACTCAAAATGCCGTGACACAGAACATATACACACAGAAACACTCAAAATGCCGTGACACAGAACATATACACACAGAAACACTCAAAATGCCGTGACACAGAACATATACACACAGAAACACTCAAAATGCCGTGACACAGAACATATACACACAGAAACACTCAAAATGCCGTGACACAGAACATATACACACAGAAACACTCAAAATGCCGTGACACAGAACATATACACACAGAAACACTCAAAATGCCGTGACACAGAACATATACACACAGAAACACTCAAAATGCCGTGACACAGAACATATACACACAGAAACACTCAAAATGCCGTGACACAGAACATATACACACAGAAACACTCAAAATGCCGTGACACAGAACATATACACACAGAAACACTCAAAATGCCGTGACACAGAACATATACACACAGAAACACTCAAAATGCCGTGACACAGAACATATACACACAGAAACACTCAAAATGCCGTGACACAGAACATATACACACAGAAACACTCAAAATGCCGTGACACAGAACATATACACACAGAAACACTCAAAATGCCGTGACACAGAACATATACACACAGAAACACTCAAAATGCCGTGACACAGAACATATACACACAGAAACACTCAAAATGCCGTGACACAGAACATATACACACAGAAACACTCAAAATGCCGTGACACAGAACATATACACACAGAAACACTCAAAATGCCGTGACACAGAACATATACACACAGAAACACTCAAAATGCCGTGACACAGAACATATACACACAGAAACACTCAAAATGCCGTGACACAGAACATATACACACAGAAACACTCAAAATGCCGTGACACAGAACATATACACACAGAAACACTCAAAATGCCGTGACACAGAACATATACACACAGAAACACTCAAAATGCCGTGACACAGAACATATACACACAGAAACACTCAAAATGCCGTGACACAGAACATATACACACAGAAACACTCAAAATGCCGTGACACAGAACATATACACACAGAAACACTCAAAATGCCGTGACACAGAACATATACACACAGAAACACTCAAAATGCCGTGACACAGAACATATACACACAGAAACACTCAAAATGCCGTGACACAGAACATATACACACAGAAACACTCAAAATGCCGTGACACAGAACATATACACACAGAAACACTCAAAATGCCGTGACACAGAACATATACACACAGAAACACTCAAAATGCCGTGACACAGAACATATACACACAGAAACACTCAAAATGCCGTGACACAGAACATATACACACAGAAACACTCAAAATGCCGTGACACAGAACATATACACACAGAAACACTCAAAATGCCGTGACACAGAACATATACACACAGAAACACTCAAAATGCCGTGACACAGAACATATACACACAGAAACACTCAAAATGCCGTGACACAGAACATATACACACAGAAACACTCAAAATGCCGTGACACAGAACATATACACACAGAAACACTCAAAATGCCGTGACACAGAACATATACACACAGAAACACTCAAAATGCCGTGACACAGAACATATACACACAGAAACACTCAAAATGCCGTGACACAGAACATATACACACAGAAACACTCAAAATGCCGTGACACAGAACATATACACACAGAAACACTCAAAATGCCGTGACACAGAACATATACACACAGAAACACTCAAAATGCCGTGACACAGAACATATACACACAGAAACACTCAAAATGCCGTGACACAGAACATATACACACAGAAACACTCAAAATGCCGTGACACAGAACATATACACACAGAAACACTCAAAATGCCGTGACACAGAACATATACACACAGAAACACTCAAAATGCCGTGACACAGAACATATACACACAGAAACACTCAAAATGCCGTGACACAGAACATATACACACAGAAACACTCAAAATGCCGTGACACAGAACATATACACACAGAAACACTCAAAATGCCGTGACACAGAACATATACACACAGAAACACTCAAAATGCCGTGACACAGAACATATACACACAGAAACACCCAAAATGCTGTGACACAGAACATATACACACAGAAACACTCAAAATGCTGTTACAGAACATATACACAGACACTCAAAATGCTGTGACACAGAACATATTCACAGAAACACTCAAAATGCATTCCTGTTTCTGGATAAAGTTTGGGGTACTTACAGTCATAATTTAAACTGCACTATAATTGCCTCATCTTTTTGTCTTTCTACATTACTTGTGTACTTACATTTCTGATACACATATAGGAACTTATAACATTGAGTTTGACAATTTTTTTTAACACAGAATATGCTAAAAACTACCAAACTCTATGCTTAGTTGAGGTAGTTTTAGAAATGCGGTTTATCTCAGTAAAACTACAAATGTCTGACCTCACAGTTTTCTTATAACTGCCCTCCCTGCTTAGTTCATATTTTGTGGTACTGTTTGTTGAGTCTTTTATTCCTTCCTTTTCTTTATCTCTTGGGTTTATTTGGTTTGACTTGTTTAGTGTCCCTTCAAGCAGATCCTTAGTGGTTGCTTTGTGTTTTACAATAGTGCTGCCTTCAAATAATAAATGTTGAGTTAGAGGCAACAGATTGTCTGCTTTGAATTTGTACATAGTAACTGCAGCATGTTGTTGGACCTTCCTAACCTTTAAACTATGATTGTCATATAAATTATGTGAATAATTTTGTCTTAATTGAGTGTTATTTTGCCCTAGTGAAATGCATGTTTCTTTCAGTTGACTCCCCTTCATGTAGATTGTGTTTCTGTCTGGTGTCTCTTTATTTCTGCGTACAGACTTGTTTTGTTTTGCTTTTTGAGACAGGGTAGCTATGCAGCTCTGGCATTGGACTCACAGACATCCTCCCGCCTCCTGCCTCCCAGTTACTAAGATTCAGGTTTGGCATTATCACATCTCGTTTTGAAGACATTTTGTGCTCCTCTGCTGGCAATAGATTTCCTTTTTTGTTGTTTTGTTGTTGTTGTTGTTGTTTGAGGAAGACTTCCCCCACCCCCCAGGTTTCAAGCTTTTCTTTAATTGTATATGTGTGGGGGTATGAGCTTGTGAGTCAGGTACTCAAGGAGGCCAGAGGTATGGGATGCCTTGGAGCTGAAGTTACAGCAGGTGGCTGTGTGCCATTGGTGTGGGTGCTCTGCAAGAGTAGCATGCACTCTTGACCCCATGAGCCGTCTTGTTGGCATCTACTTCTCCATTTTAAAGGACTGACACTGCTTTTCTTTCGAAGATGTTTGGCTGGGTTCTCCTTTTCCTGGTGGTATTGGCAATATGTCTGTGCACACACCTCACTTTCTCTTACCCCTCATAACTATGCTAAGTTCCCCGTGAGATGATTCACTTCTGTGTCAGATGCAAGACTGCTTTTGTACACTGTACTGTCTCTTGTTAAATCTCTCCTTGTTTCTTCCTTGCCTTTTCACATGGCTTTGTAAGTTTTTGCGCCCATTTTCATCATGTGCCCCCACAAATATACATTGAAAAGGATACAGCACAGGGAAGGTGTCAGCAGCAATTGGGTATCTTGTATAGGACAGTAACTAAGGTAGGTAGATTTGGTGCCTAGAAATGGGTCCACATTTCCTGCTGCCGGGCCTTTCATGTGGCAGAGTTGAATTAATACTGTCAGATGTTCTGAGCTGAGGTTTGCTCTGTGGTTGTATACCATGCACCACAGGGTTCAAATCCCTTTGGCAATACCTCATTTTCAGAATGAGGGCTGTGTAGCACAAATAATAAAAACCCTGAGACAAATACTGGGGTTCAGATTGAAGATCAGAAAAGCAAAGCAGCCAGCCACTAGCTCTTACCTCTACTCAGACCAAAAGGGCAATCGTGTCTCCACAAACCCTTGTGGTGGCTGGAGAGTGAATGCTGCATGAAACCCTGCTCCTGTCTTGTATACTTCTCTAGTGCTGGGATTAAAGGCGTGCACCACTACTGTCCAACTTCTATGGCTAACTAGTGTGCCTGCTGGGATTAAGGTGTATACCACCACTGCCTGGCCTCTATGTCTGTGACTAGCTTTGCATTCTGATCTTCAGGCAAGCTTTATTAGATCATGAACAAAATATCATCACAGAGCTGGTTTCCCAGAGGGCTTTTCTCAGAAACTTATCATACCCTGGAATTGGGACTATTTCCAGCAGTGTTATTCTCTGTTACTCGTTGCTGGGAGTTGGAGTGGCAAGGTTTCTTCTCATTTTCTGATATAGCTGCCATTTGCTTTTGTAACTGCGGTATTTGGCCTTCTAACGCTTCTGCCCACCAGTGGCTGTAGTCCTCGGTCCAGAACATATTACTGCCTCTTCTTCCAAAGACAGCAGTGTGTGCTGGTCCTGTGCCAGGTAAAGCAAATACGAGCCAGCATGTGCCACCTATACTTGAACACTAGAGATGGAAACTCAAATCTACATGGTCATACATGACAAGCATCTAACCCACCAAGCCATCTATCCAGTCCCTCATTGAATTTTTAATTTCAGTAGTTATATTGATCTTTAGAAATTCTATTTGATTAGTTCTTAAATTTGCAAAATTTAGCCAGGTCTGGTGACATATTTACAACACTCAGCAGGTAAAAGCGGGAAGGTTGTGAGTTTTAGACCCACCCAGGCTACATAGCAAGACACTAGCTCAAAAAAACAAAACAAAACAAAACAAAAAAATGAGAACAGGGTGTTTTGGTCAAATTCACTCTTCCTCCCCTCCCTGCTTATACTTTAAAATGGCTCTAAATACTGCAGGTGGCTACTCCTGACTTAGCCTGTCACATGCCGAGACAATATGCGTGTCTCCCTGTGCTACTCCTGGATGTTTCTCCTACTACTTTCTTGCCTAATGCTTTTTCTTCTCTCCCCCCCCCCCTTTCTTTTTCCCTAGACACGGTTTCTTTGTATAGTCCTGGCTGTCCTGGAACTCGCTCTACAGACCAAACTGGCCTCAAACTCACAGAGATCTACCTGCCTCTGCCTCCCGAGTGCTGGGATTAAATGCATGTGCTACCATGCCCAGCTCTTCCTTTTTGTCTCTTTAATAATTTTAAGCATTTATTTATGTAAAGTCCTCATATAATTTCCTTATTATGAGGAATTCTTAAACTATACGCTTGTCTTTTTTGTCACTGTTTCTAACCCACAGTTAAGTCTTGAAATGTGGTTTTATATTTAGTTGTGGGAAGTGTTTTCATCTTGAGATTCTTTGCAGCTATATTGAAGGAATATCCATCTGTTTCAGGTGTAGCACATATAACAAAGATTGTAGGACATTTTGAACTCAGTACTAAAATGCCCATTATAATTTGCAGTCAGAATTCACAAAGTAAAAATGAGTAAGAATAGACTTACAGGTGATGGTTTTGATAGGTATTCTTCTGAGTGTGGTCAGAAGATAAGAAAAAGTGAAGAAATTTGGCAGTGGAAGATAGTTTTGGAGTCTATATGTGGAATTACCCGATTTATTCCCCATTAAAAGTGGAGGCAATGCCATTTTTCATGGAATGAGGTAGAATGAATCAGATGACAGTGGACTGAACGAACTGAGCGTCCACTGTGCCCATTTTTCTGCAGGAACCCTTCCATATACCTTCCTCACATAATCTTTTGACACAGCCAGAGGGCCAGTAGTCGTGTCCACCTATTTTTCCAGTATACTGGAATTTGGTAGGATTAAATAACTTGTCCAAGACCGGAGAATACACGTTCACAGAGATCTTGCCACATATATGCTGTTCATATAGTTCTGGAGATGTCCAAGTAAAAACATAGCAAGTATTTTCGTATGGACAAGAGAACTAGAGACTTAGAGATTCTTAATCATCAAGGGTCAAAGCCAGACTTGAAAGCTGTCTGTGACCGAGCACAGGAAATCCCACTCTGCGTCCTTGAAAAGAAGCTTCACTAGACAGACGCTGGGGACTATAGGGCATGTGACACACAGGGTGATGTGAGAGAGTTTGTGCTTTATCTCCTCATGTATGTCCCCAGGGTTCAGAGATACCCGCCTCTAGGTCGTATGTGAAGGTCTTCATAGTTTATAGAATTTTTTTTTTGTATAAATGGTATATTTAGGTTTAAATTTTTGTTTAAGTATTTCTAGTGTTTTGAAGCATGGACTCGTGTAGCCCAGGCTAATCTCAAATTCTATATTATAGAGACAAAGCTAACCTAGAATTCCTGGTCCTCCTGCCTCCACCTTCGAAATCCTGGGATTACAGATGTATGCTACCATGCCTGACTGTTATGTTGATTATAATTTTTAATTTTCTTTTGGAGGGTTCAGTTTTTTTGTTTTAAAGGTTTATGTTTGAGACATGAGTCTTGCTGTGTAGTGTCGGCTGTCCTGGGATTCACACTGTACCACAGGTTGTCCTTGAACTCACTTGATAGTCCTTCCTCAGCCTCCCGAGTGTTGGAATTATATGTGCTGCACACTTGACTGAGGGTTTGTTTTTATATCTTTTATCCAATTTTTAATAAACATTTTAAATAGTTTAAGACTGTTAAAGTGTAAGATTTACAGATAAAAGTTCATTAAAAATGTCCAGTCTTGATTCTATAGTGAGTCTATTTATATTTCCCATTAGAATCAGATCAATAGTAACCAACTTCGAAGAGCAGAACAAGAGGTGACCAGTTTGCAGGAGAAGGTACATTCCCTTTCTGCGAAGAACAAAGGATTGCTTACCCAGTTAAGTGAGGCAAAGCGCAGACAGGCAGAGATGGAATGCAAGGTAAATGTCGTGTAACGATGCCTTTTATAGACTTATTTATCATGATTGTGTTTTGTCTTTTTGAGACAGGCTTTCAAGATAATGGCCCTGACTAGTCTGGAGCTTGCTGTATAGACTAAAGTGATTTCAAAATCTCATTGATTCTTTTCCCTCTGCCTCTCATTGCTGGGATCGCAGCTAGATTAAATTTTCAGACAAGGTTAGATTATCTTGTTCAGAGGGTGAATTGCAAGGAAGACACCTCATCTATCTATCTATCTATCTATCTATCTATCTATCTATCTATCTATCTATCTATTTATTGAGACAGAATTTCTCTGTGGCTTTGAGGCTGTCCTGGAACTAGCTGTTGTAGACCAGGCTGGTCTCGAACTCACAGAGATCCACCTGCCTCTGCCTCCTGAGTGCTGGGATTAAAGGCGTGCGCCACCACTGCCCAGCAAGACACCTCGTTTTTAACTTTGGACGTGGTTAAGTTACTGTCTTACACTGGCTTAGACTAGAGTGGCTTTTCAAAGTTTCTTTTGACTAGTGTCTCTTTAAAACCTAGCTTGTACCTGAAAATGCAGGTAATTGGAGAGGTTGAAGCAGTCAGTACTGATATGCTTTCTGGGTAACAGAGAGAGAAGGAGGAATGTGTGTGTGTACAGGTAAATTAAGAAAAATGAGTACATTTTCCATTCTTTTAATCTGTTTGTGTTACATGAAGCTTTTTGTTCAAAATCACTACAAGTATTTGAAATAAATTGAAATTTTTTCACAAAAAGACCATGTAGTAGCTTTAGCTAATGAGAGGGACAGATAGATGGTCGGGGCATCTGTAGAGGAGAGGAGGATGGATGCACATACATAAACGTGTGTGGGAATAACTAAAGAGACGTGTGTAGTCTGAACCTTAGAGTCGGTCACTGGAGGGAAGCTGTGACGGAAGAGGAACTTACTCATATCCTTAGCATAGTTGCTTTAGTAGTTGCTGTGCCCTTCATGTATTCAAGCCTCGCTGTTCTCTGAGAACTGACTTCCAGTGGCACACATAAAACTGTAATTCCATCAACTTGCTCTGGTGTCATTAAAAACCAAGAGTGCAGCTTGAGTGGTTTATCAGTGTCACCGAAATCCAGAGATGAAATTACATCCTAATAAATATTCATGGCTGTTAGAATTTAGACTGAAGAAATCTGTAGGCAGTATTGACAATTGTGTTAACTCAAGAATTGACCCTTTTAAGATGTAGAATGGGGCTAATTTAAAAATGAAGTGGTGCACATTGAGGTTACATTGGATGATTTGTCACACTGGTAGCGATAGACTTTATGTTGCCACGTCGTCCTTGTGATTTGTCTGTAACAGAGAACTAACCAAATACAATGTTCTTTTGAAGTGTTTGTGGAATTTGGACATGAAGATACTTGCTTTGAGTTTTTCTAAGTAATGGATTAAAAACTCAGGACAGTAGAGGACTGAGCAGACTGATAGAATTTCCACTTAGGTTTTATTTGTTCATTAGTACCCCGTAAAATATACTGAGGATACTAACTCTGATGTCCTCCTTGTATGTGAACTCTAAATTGGTTCAGCCTTCTTTAGATCCCATAGACCCTGGTAATTAATATTGGTGTACTAATTGTTATTCTAGCACCTGGTACTTGTCACATTTCCCTGTGAGAGTGCAACAATTCAGTAACAACTATAATCTTTTCAAAGAAGCCAGTCCCTTAGTCTCATAAATTAGATTTATTTTCATTAAGTTTTATATGATTAAAGCTTAGGGTTTGTTGGTGAGTAACCATTAAAGCTCATTTTATTTTCCATTTATACAAAGTGTCTTAATATCTGTATTATCAACATTAGTTTTACTCTATAAATGAGTTTGAATATTTTCACTTAAAATATTACAAGCCTATAATCCCCAGTTTCAGTCCAAAATACTCTGACCTCCAAAGTTTTTCTTTTTCTTTTTTTCTTTTTTTTTAAATAAATTTCACACAGGTTCATTTGGAGGTAACATCTGATTTGAACTGATAGATGGTCACTTATAAGTTGTTTTTGTCCCTTTGGGTGTGGGTGTTTATAGCTGACTGCATCATTATAGGTGCTTTCTCAGACAACTGCTGGGTAATATTAGTGCACTTTATGCACCTTAATATTTTGTACAATCTGAAAAATCTCAGTTCCAAACTCCGCTGGTTTATTCCTGTGTTTTTCTTGGTGCTGCAGAACAAAGAGGAAGTCATGGCTGTGAGACTCCGGGAAGCTGATAGCATAGCCGCCGTGGCTGAACTGCAGCAGCACATTGCCGAGCTTGAAATTCAGGTATGGTGTGTTATGGCTCCCTCTCTGTGCACCAGACCTACTTGCCCTGTGTTGGTATCTGCCTCCTGGTGACTGTGGAGGCCAGAGGTTGAAGTTGAATGTGTTCCTCCATTGCTTTCCACTTTATTCACTGAGGCGGGGTCTCATACTCTGGCTAGTCTTGCTAATCAGCCTGCTCCAGGAATCCCTTGTATCCTGCGTCTCTGCCTGCCTGGCATCATAGGCAGCTAGCTGCCACGCTCAGCTGACACTTCCATGGATGGTGAGGACCTGAACTTGGGGCTTCTCACTTGGGTGGTATGCGCTTTATCCACGGAGAAATCTCAGCCCTCGGGTGCACTTTTATTTATACATAACATAAAATAATATCAATTCTGTGATATTAAGAATATTTATGCTGTTGTATGGCCACTAACACCATCTGCCTCAGAATATTTTTTCATTTCCCGCATGAAGCTCAGTGTGTCCAGTAAGTACTAACTTGACACTCCTTCCTTCCATAGTCCCTGGCACTCACCATTTAGCATCTTATCTCTATGAATTTGACCATTCCAGGTACATTCTATTGGGAACCATGAAACATATGTCCTTTTGTGACAGGCTGATTTCACTTATCATGAAGTTCTTAAGGTTCATTCATGTAGTGCGTGTTATAATTTCTTTCCTTTTTAAAGTTAAGTGCGTCCTTCATGTGTCTACTGCATTTTTGTTACCCACTCATCATTTATCTGCCTGTGCTGTTGTGAATGACACTACCGTGATCAGAGAATCGTAAATACCTACGAGAGTCCCTATGCATCATCTAGAAATACTGCGTCATACACTAATTCTGTTTAGTTTTTTGTGTAGTTGCAATGCTATTTTCTGTAAAATGTACTGTTTTCCATTCCTAACTTCAGAGCATAAGAATTCCATTTTTTCCCACATCTTCACCACTACTAACTAATTTTCAGGAGCTTAGAAATCTGTCATCCTGGTGTGTTTTAGGTGGCATCATCTCCTTACTCTGATTGGTGGTTTCCCAGTGGGTAGTCAACACCAGGCATCCCTTTACCTGATATTTAGCATTTATATATTGTCTTTTGGATCTGTTTATCTTGTTGGTGATGAGTTGTAGAAGGTACTTGTGTATTCTCAATAGCAATCTCATGTCAAATGATGTGGTTTATATTTCTCCTGTAGGTTCTTTTTAAGATTTATTTTTTATTTTATGTATATGGGTATTCACCCTACCTTGTGTGCACCATGTGCATGTAATGCACACAGAAGCCACAAGAGGGTGTCAGGTCCCTACAGGTGGTTGCTAGCCACCACATGGGTTCTGGAACAGAACTTGGGTCCTTTGCCAGAGAACGCTTGCTCCTAACTGCTGAGCCGTCTCTCTAGCACCAAGGTGTAACAGGTCTTTCTTTGTGCCACCAGCTCCCAAATAATGACATGGAGACTTTTTATTAATTATGAAAGCTTGGCTGTAGCTTAGGCTTGTTAACTAGCCTTTTGTTGTTGTGGTTTTTTTTTTTGTTGTTGTTGTTGTTTTGTTTTGTTTTTCGAGACAGGGTTTCTCTGTGGCTTTGGAGGCTGTCCTGGAACCAGCTCTTGTAGACCAGGCTGGTCTTGAACTCATAGAGATCCGCCTGCCTCTGCCTCCCGAGTGCTGGCATTAAAGGCGTGCGCCACCACTGCCTAGCTCTTAAACTTTAAATTAACCTGTTTATATTAATCTACCATTTGTCATGTGGCTCCTTACCTCTCCTCAGTTCCATACTCAACTGCTTTTGTATCTGGCTGGCCAATCTCCTGCCTCAGATTCTTTCCCAGAGTTCCTATCTCTCTCCGGAAGTCCCGCCTATCCTCTCCTGCCTAGCTATTGGCTGCTCGGCTCTTTATTAAACCTATCAGAAGGTGCCTTCGGCAGGTGAGGTAAACAGATATATACACATAATGTACAAAAAGATTATCTCAGCACCAATAGTAACACTTTTTCTTTGTTGATAATGTCTTTTGATGCACAAAAGCCTTTTATTTTTCTTAAGTCCAAAGTCTTAGCAGAGAACTTGGGTTTTGCTTTTGTTAACAGTGTAATAAGTCCATTTTGAGTGTTACTTCATCATATTTCTGCAGTGTCACTTCTATTTCAAAAACAAAATTTAGATTTTTAAAAGTAAATGTGGGGCTGGAAAGATGGCTCAGAGGTTAAGAGCACTGACTGCTCTTCCAGACGTCCTGAGTTCAATTCCCAGCAACCACATGGTGGCTCACAACCATCCATTATGAGATCTGGTGCCCTCTTCTGGTGTGCAGATATACATGGAAGCAGAATGTTGTATACATAATAAATAAATAAAATCTTAAAAAAAAAAGTAAATGTGGGTCAGACATGGTGTCAGATGTTATTCCAATCATTTGAGAGGATAAAGCAGGAGATGTCAGGCTTGGGCACTAAATAGTCTTAAACTTTTCTCTGACTTGTGTGTGTTAGGGTGCTATAAGTTTGGATTTCTTAGATTCTAGTATTGGTGAGCACATGGGTTTATCCATGTCACAAATGACAAGATTTCTTTTTGTTACTAGTTTTTTTTTTTTTTTTTTTCTAGGTAGCATGTTACTGTGTTGCTCACACTAACCTAGAAGTGTATAGGGCTCAGGCTGTCCTCTAACCTATAATCCTCTTGCTTCTGCTTTCTGAGTGCTAGGATTGCAGGGTGCAATCACAGCTAGCACAACTCCCATCTTTTTAAAGGCTAAGTAGCATTCCATTGTATACATTGACATCTTCTGTGTCCACTCCTCAACCAGTCCATGCTTAGGTAGGGTTCACGTTTGACTTTGGTGAAATCAGATTTTTTCCTATTCTACCCCAAAGCTTCTGTGTGGGCATAGTTTTCCTGTGCCATTAGCCACTCCCAAATCATCACTTAGAAATGTAATATTAATTGTAAATGCTCAGCCAGCAACTCATGCTTGTTACTAGCTAGCTCTTACATTTTAAATTAATCGGTGTCTTCTTATCTATCTGCCACGTGGCTGATGGCTTATTACTTCATTGTCTACACATCCTGCATCCTCTGTGCCTGTTGGTGTCTCCTCTGACTCTGCCCTTCTTCATCTCAGCATCCTTAGTTGGGTTGTCCCGCCTATACTTCCTGCTTTGGTACCTGCTAGGCAGGCCTTTATTAACTAATGAGAGTCATACATATTCACAGTGTACTAACCAGTGAGAGCCATACATATTCACAGTGTACTAACCAGTGAGAGTCATACATATTCACAGTGTACTAACCAGTGAGAGCCATACAAAATCAGTGTACTAACCAGTGAGAGTCATACATATTCACAGTGTACTAACCAGTGCGAGCCATACATATTCACAGTGTACTAACCAATGAGAGCCATACTTATTCCTCGCATTTCTGTTTTTTTGTATCTTTAGTCTTGATGTGTGGACCGTTGGTTAGCACATTTTCAGCCTGGAATAACTTCAGGTACTTCTTTTTTACCATCTATAATGCATGCCAAAGATGCATGTGTAAGGTATTCATGTTTTCCGTTTCAGTAGCTAACATTATTTTACACCTTAAGTTACTTCCCTGAGATGTTTTGTCTGCCGTGGGGACTGGTACTACAAACCTCTTTTTGGACCTCTCCTGGCATTTCTGTTTTTTCCCTGCCCATCCTTGGTCCTTCTACTGACTGTCTTGTCTGAAGTAGAGTTCTCTCATCCAGTCTCCTTTTCCACCCTTCACTGTAGGTAACTCTCCAGCAGTTACCAGAGCTGCCTTCCTAAAATAAAAGTATCTGTTGGTGGCCTCACCTGCCAATCACATCAACTCCTCAGCATGAGACCCCTGTCTTTGTATTATTCCCCACACTCATGTCTCCACCTTTCTCTCTTATCATTATGTCCACCCCCACATACAGCCCTGCCTAGTATACTCCAGAGCGCTGTTCTAGGGCTTCCGTGTTCTTTCAGATTGCTGTGCCCTTCTGCATGCTGTTGTCATCTTACAGTTCTTTACATTCTACACGTTTGAGGCAATTTCCTTGTTCTTCCAGGACTGAGACCTGTGTGCCCACCCTTGATCTGACTGTTAAGTCACTCAGGAAGAATATTTTGAGTAAATGTCTCAGTGTCTCAGCATTTATTTACTGTAGATTAAGACCCACAGATACTAATTTAATGTATTTATTTACTGTAGATTAAGATCCACAGATAGGGGCCGGGCAGTGCTGGCTCACGCCTTTAATCCCAGCACTCAGGAGGCAGAGGCAGGTGGATCTCTGTGAGTTCCAGACCAGCCTGATCTACAAGAGCGAGTTCCAGGACAGCCTCCAAAGCCACAGAGAAACCCTGTCTCAAAAACAAAACAAAACAAAAAAGATCCACAGATAGGCAGCAATTTCAGCACTCTCAAGAGAAGCATGAAAATTAAAAGTTCAAGGCCAGCATGAGCTATTATATAGAGATACATCTTAAAGGGTCAAAAAACCTCTTAAATTATTTTCATTTAAATCTGAAACTCCTTTTTCAGTTATATTATACTTTAGATCATTCACAGTTGTGGAAATATACCAAATCAATTTTAAGTTCCACTAGGGGGGACTAAGACTCTGTATTTTGTATTTCTCCATCAGTTAATGTTTCCAATTGATGTTATGTAGCCTTGGCTAACCTGAAACTCACAGAGATCTCTTGCCTCTGGTTCAAGAGTGCTGTGATTAAAGGTGTGCAACACCAGGCTTGGCATTTGTTAATTTCTCACAAACTAAATTCTCTCAAATTCTCCATGTAATAAACCATATTGCTATATAACATACTTTTAATTTTTGGATTATATAATACATAATCTGTTATTCTTATAATTAAAGCCTGCTTTTTTATATAATTACTAAAACTATACTTTTGTAAATATACTTAGAGGAAATAGAGGAAGAAATACTTTATAAATTCTGTGACATTCTATAAAGACTTTAGCATATATGTGTATATATATGCATATATA